AGTTGTATAATAAATTAACTTTCCTACTAGCTCTTCCGATATTTCACTTTATATTAACAGTTATACATAATACTCGTAATTATAATTATAGAATTAGATATAATTCTAATAAGATGGACCCTAAATGTTATGGTCCTCCCGTCTATTGCTCGCGTGTATAATAAACTAGCTTTCTTAAGAGCACTTAGAACTATATCACAGTTATTATTAGCTGTATAAATTAATTATGCCATAATTTGAGGTAATTCCATTAAGATGGTAACTAAAATATTATAGTTCTGTAATCCGTTTTTTCATTTATGAGCTATATAGTAGACCAACTAAAGGATATGGCAGAAAGCAGTCGTGACTAAGCTGTCTATGGATTATGTGAATAAGGGCACTAAAATAAAAGTAAAAATGGGAGACAGAGGTAAGAATTCAATCGAAAGACTAGCTTCCGACGGCAAGTTAGCAGCGTAAGAGGGTATTTGAACCGTCTGGTTGTTATAGCTAAGCACTGGTGTGAACTTTAACATGCTTATTATATGTACTTCTGTTCATCATAATGCTAGATTTTCTTACTTTATACTATAAAAATCAATTCTGTATTTTCATAATAATTATTGAACAATTCAGTCCTTCATTTCAACTATTTCCTTGAAAACCAATCTAAATTTCATTGCATAGCCTTAAAATTTTTACGTCCCTGTTGAATAATAATGGCCGAAATACATGGCTGTCGATGAAAATGTATGAAACAAAAATAGCTACGACGTTACGTCAACAGTGTCAGACTAATCTAGAGATAAATTCCAACGGAACAATTTCTAATGAGCAATATAGCTCTAGAAGTCCCATGATGAAATTCGAAAAATAAATTACTATGAGCTTCACAATTCACCGCAATTAAATATTACAATTTATATTACTTTCGATATTCGTCCTGGCGCCAAAAGAAAAATCCAATACGTCTATAACCTCTACAATGATTGGTTCAAATTGTTAATTTATACATATTTAAATACAAATTATACAATTGTTGGTCAGTAACAGTCTCGGTGTAATTTTAAACTTCGGAAAATAAACGATTATAAACTTCCAAACAAGTTATTCGTTTAAAATATATCAATATTTAACCTTTTCAACCTCATTAACAAATGGCGCAAAATTAGCTTTGAAATGTACTACTACTCCCGCCTGCCGATTGACTGTTATTGCAAATAATAATTGTGCGGTTTATAATCTTGTGATATGTACTTTAAGCAGAAATTATGATGCAGAATTTAAGAAACTGCTATGAAATTTAAACTGAACAACACTTCGTTAAGATTACGCACAGTGTAAGTGCAAGTATCAAGGCGTGCTACTTCAACAAGCAAACTTTCCTAAAGTGGTTTCTTCGTGTTTCAGGCGACGTTTAATATACAAGAATATAAAACCACAAGTACCTGAAAGGTAGTTAGTTAATACAACTTACGGTACTGAACTCTGTTCTACGAAATAAAAGGTTGAAAAATTTGCGAACTAACACTCATATCACTCCGTCTTCTCATGCTTGCAACAACCCAGTGTCGCCGTACGTTAAGCAACCTTGCGTATTGGTAGGGTGGGGGGAAGGGTGGAGGGAGTGGGTGGTTTCGATTCAGCCGAACATTTCTCCTATCGAGATTACGCGTCATTTTGCAGAGGCGACTCGTTAGAAGTATTTTACATGAAAATCAACATCAGTTGCCATTACACATTCTGACGTGCCTAAATTGCCTGCGTAGTCTCGTTGATCAGTATATTAAAATTCGATACTGATGAAATTATAGCATAATCATTGTCTGGTTATAAAACCTTGCCCATCACTACGAGCGAAGAAGAGAAATAACTGATAACAAACTGTTGAGGAGAAATGAAGCGAGTGCTACACGAAGTACATAATGGAAATAAATATATAATGTTGAGATTCTTTGCTTATACTCTGGTCCTGAAATTGTTAAAAATAAAGGTGACAATACACTGGCTCGTAAGCATTACGCTGTGGAGATATACAGACGAACTGAGGTAAATATCCACTGTTTCTAGACTACATGGACTTCCAAGGCCCTGTACGGTCCTCTACGAATGTAGATGTAAAGATAAAATACCTAACCCGCTGGGGATCGAACCTTGGACATCAATCACCACAAAGAACCACTTTATTAATGGAAGCACCCAGATCATTAGAGCTAATTTTTAGAAGGTTCTATTGAAAGAAGTTTAGATGAACAAATCATGCAGCACCCATGTAAAAGAGAACAATATGTAAACAGTTGTGGTTGAAGAAGCTCGTGAAAAAAAAAATGACAATTTGGAGACACAAAAAATAATATTAAAATTTATATTTGGTGACCCATTGATTCTGTCAATATTTAACAAATCACATAGGCATAGTTAAAATGTTACTATGTGTCATACTTTGGAAACACTACATACTGGCATATGCGAGTACAAAGCATCATTTAATAGTTGTTTTGTATGGCTTTAAAACGTGACTTACACCTCAAGAGAAGAAAATGAATTTTCAAGTAAGTGAAAACGAAACGATCGGGAGAATGTTTCGACATAAGAAGTGATATTGTAAGTGGAAATTTCAGGATACTGAGGGTCGCCAAATGTTGTTAGGGTATTCAAGTACAGGTTACAGTGGGATGAGTATGTAGCTGGAATATGAATAACAAGGAATATGAGGCAAGTCTTCAGTGATTGACTGTCAAGGTGAGTCGGGTTGGTTGAGATGCGTATGTGTGTGAGTGCGTGCGTGCGTGTATGTGTGCGGAGGAGAGGGTCAGTTAGTGAGCGTTAGTGAGTGAATACCCGCTCAAATTACCTTCAAGCAGAAAGGGGAGCGGGTGACCAGCAACAGTCAGACCCTTCCTCTCGTCGAAGAGAAGGCCCCATTTCAAAACATGCAAAAATGTTGGAGAGAAAAATTAAACTATAGTCATAGGTTCCAACGGGACCGGAAACCAAGATCAACTGTGTTGGCGGGGACCAGTAGCAATTTACCCGACCTACAGGGACGATAAGAAAAATTATTTTTTTGGAAAACTTAGAAGTGTATGACAGAATAATAAGTTACGTCTTAAGGACATAGGTTTTGAAGATAAGGGGTGAATACAGGATCATGTCCAATGGTTGACTCGGGTTTTTGTGTCCTATTTCCACCGTTAAATAAACGCTCTCCATGTGTTTATCCAGGCTGTCTCTTTATTCACCTTAAACAAGCAATTGATCTAATAGAAAATCTGCACTCCGATCTTCCCCCAGTTGCCAGCGTTCTAATGACAGATGATGACCAACAATCATGGCAGTATTTGGCTTAAGGGACTGAGGTAACTCACGAAACGATTCTTGCCAGGATAACAGGTCTCCCGGCCGATATTCTAGTCAGCGCCCTCTGACGACAAGAAGAGGTAAAGCTATCGGACTCTGAAGACGAACACTCATCCCAGCGCTTGTACCGTGATCTAGAATGCATGAAGTTTTGTCTTCACCTCCTCTATGCGCCTCCACTTTCTGACGCTTAATCCCAATTATGTGCAAGAATACGCTAACAATAAATCAATTGTATAGATTTATAACATTCTTATAATGAATAAGTTATTTCTTTTCTTACTGATAATATTTTAGAGCTGGGATAGCATAGTCGGTATAGAGACTGGCTACGGGCTGGACGCCCGAGGGGTCAGAGTTCGAGTCCCGGTAAGGCCAACTATTTTCTCTTCTCCACGTCGTCCAGACCGGCTCTGGGGGCCACCCAACCTCCTATCCAATGGGTACCGGGGGTTCTTTCGCAGGGGATAAAGAGGCCGGGGCGTGAAGATGACCACCTACCTCCAGTTAGTGCCGAGGTTTAGAAAATATGGGTTTATACATTCACTCCCCATACACCTTCATGGTGTAGTGCCTAATTAGTTAAGCACAAGGACAACTTTTATTTTATGCAGCGAGACCGTGTCGATGGCAATACGAACTAACCGCCACTGCATACCTGAAGGGAAGCGAGTGACGTCGTCACAGAGATGACAGAAGAGAAACAAGCGAATGAAGAGACACGTGTGTGCGTACGATCACCCCCTTTCCCCGTCATGTATGTTGGCTGCTGCAAGGTTAAGTTGAGGTTATAATTGCCCCGTGTACCATGTTCTTTAGCTGAACCGTAAATCTCAGACCCTGAACATTCTAAAGTTGTAACAATTATTAATGCCACTCAGCAAATGTAGATGCTGCGAAAACCGTTCAAATGACCTTAGTCCGAATCTGAGGTTTTCCGCACTTAAAAGCATATTCTCCTAATGAAGATATTCAGTTTTCATTCAACCGCATTGAACTTTGTACAAATGTCCTCGAACAGAATGTTCGACTCCTGAAATTTATGGACGTCAACTGAATATCTTTCTTTAAATTGTGTACTGGTGATAGAATTGTACCAGAGAGGTGGGACTACGGAGCCAGGTTTAAGGGAATTATGTACCGGCCGCGCCATAGCTCAAGCGGTTAGTCGCTGGCTTGTCAGCGCTGCGGTCCGGGTTCGATCCCGGGTCTGGTCAAGTGGGATTTGTGGTGGACAAAGTGGCGCTGGAGCAGGTTTTCTCCGAGTACTTCGGTTTCCCCTGCCAATCTTCATTCCACCAATTGCTCCACAATCACCCTCACCTATCATCTGGGGCTGGTACAATAGGCAAGAAGTGGCCGCAGTACAGGGGACTTAGTCCCATCCCACTAGCAATAAAAAAAGAAAATATTATCGACTTTAATATTAGCATTTATTACTTACTCCTCAAATTTTCAATATTTTTAATGAAGCTGCCAGGGACTGGAGAGTCCTAAAGTGTAGAAACAACGATATATAGAAACCGTGAATTGAACATAACGACGTGTCTGTAATTTATGCCCCCTTGATGGAGAGTGAAATTTTCGGCTTTCAACATAATTTTAAGTGCATGTATTAATTATGTTGGTAACATTGATAGTCCGCCATAATTCAGCCATCTGTCGAATGGTTCACAAAGCACGTGTAAAAGGTGTTCCACGTTGAGTGGTAACGAGTGGTACTGTCGAGGTGTCATGTTAGTGATTTGTCTTGGTGGTGACGTTTTATAACAAGAATAGAAAGTTGGTGATTTGTAACAGTACTCGTCATTTCCGTGAATTTGAAGTGATGCGAAATGCCTTATAAGTGCTTTTGTGTGTGTAAAGTGTGATATTAGCTGAAATATATACTATAAATTGTGAAGTTATGGTTGTCATAATTTTCATTTTAGGTTATCTCTGTATTTTCTGAATACCCTTTTGTTCTTCCGTCACTTGCATAGGGAGTATAATTGTCCATATGAAGATCTGGACACTATGGCTTCTTTTAGTGGTTTTATCGTTGGATGCCGTTCAATGCTGGGACAGCGAAGAGATGGAGATATTCGATTTGGTCGAGGAAGTTAACACAAACTTCTACACCCTCTTGGGTGTAGCTGAGGTAACTGTCCAAACGATTCCACCATTAACTTTTTTTTTTTGCATTACGTGAAAAAAACCGAATGTGGCTGTCGAATAGGTGGCACTCCTACATATTCAGAAGGCCCTTAGTTCAAGTCTCGTCCTTGAGGTCTGCTATTCTGACAGATTTTCTTACTTTTCCCCATCTCTCTAAACAAGTGATGGGACAGTGCATCAGATTTTGCCACAACCACTTCCTTCCTCATCCTTTTCAATTCATAATTCACTAGTCATCCTACATCACTATATAATCTGAGGTACTGAGAGCACTGTTAAAAAGATCATAAATAAATTCAATGGTATAGCATGCATCGAATCTGTCTTTCTGTTTTAGAATGCTGATCCGGTTGATATTAGAAAGGCATATCGTCGTTTATCTCTTGTCTTGCATCCTGACAAAAATGATGCTCCAGATGCTGAAGTTAAATTCAGACAGGTAATTTATAGTTTCTTCTGTTTCCAGGAGATTTGTGTGTCATATCTTGAACAAGGAACTGTCCTACAAGGAGATTAACAAACAAAATACATGCTGCCCAATATGATATGTACCATATTTCTGGATATGTTTTATACATTTTGTATTGTTTTTGTAGTTGGTGGCTGTGTATGATGTGCTAAGGGATGCAAACAGACGTATGCGCTATGATGAAGTGCTCAAGAACGGACTTCCGGATTGGCGACAAGCTATTTACTATTATCGGCGTGTCCGCAAGATGGGACTGGCAGAAATGTCTGTTATTTTATTTGTGTTGGTCACAGTGGGGCAGTATATTGTCTCATGGGCCGCCTATCTTGAGAAAAAGTATACAGCTGTAAGTGTAATGAAGTATCTTCTTTCCATCTCCTCTTCTAGCATTGTTTCCATTTTATACAGGTTGATGGATGAAAGGTCTACAATCTCTTGTTTCCTTTTGAGTTTCTTGCATTAACTCTCCTCTATTGATGTCCTGCAGTACCTGGCTAACCCATCTTGTTCTGGGTTATCCCATAGACCTTTGTTGATTACATTTTAATTCCATTGCCTTTCTTAGTATTCTTGTTTTGCCCATTCTTTATTCATTCATTCATTTATTTACAGTTCTACAAAATCCATGGAGGCGTCTGCCTCAGATATAGAACAAGTCAGCAATACAATATAACATATGAATATACATACATAATCAGATAGTCATCATCGTCAAAAATTGAAATACTCAATACAACAAGACTACTGTACAACAATACATTCCATATATCAAAAAAACATATAAAATTATGGCCAAACTATTGTCATAATTTTTCTTCAAACTTCATTAACAAATCCTGAACTCCAGTTTCTTCTCCGGGAATTTCAGTAAGAAATATAACCAGTAAAACAGTTTCATTTCTATTTTTATATAATTTTGAATATACAAGTAGAACTGTGTGTGTAAGGTGTGAAGCTTTCATGACAGCCAACATTAAGAAAATCTTCTCAGGCTATCAGCCATGCCAGTTCGTTAAAAATTACCAAATTGTTTCATGGACAATCTCTCTGTCTCCATCATCAGGATATGATATTATGTGATTATTCAGATCCTGATGATGAGGACAAAGATGGTCCCTGAAGTATCAGTCATTTTTAACCAATTGACATGGCTGATAACCTGCAAAGAGGGGCCCAAAAAATGTATACGCATTTTAATAGGGTTATTTATGGACACAACCACAAAACTGAACCGAAATGTAATGTATGGTGTGTAGTGTTATTTTTCCCAAAAGATGGTGCTGGTCACATGAGTGCCAGCACCACCTTATCAAATGGAAGGACAGTCAAAGGAAATGACAGCAGAACAGCGTGTATACATTTGGGGGGGGGGCATCTTTGTATGCTCTATTAAAGCTGAAACACAGGTATAAGTTTATGTAAATTTTTGGAGTTGTGCCATTTTTGTGTGTATTAAGTTGTTGAATGGTACAGGATTCAGAACATACTAATTTATTTGAAAATGTGTTGGATTGTTTTGAGATGTGAAATTTCTGTTGTTCTCTGAATGTGAATGGGTGGTGACACTGTATCATCTGGTAGAAAGGACTTATGGCTCACCTCTGTTATTTACTTTATATAACTGGATTATTTTTCTTACTGTACACACTTTAGCCTCTCTTTACTATCCACAGGAACAGTTCCTGAACATGAGATTGAAGAAATTGCAGAAGAAACAAAGAAAGGGCAAATATGATGGACCTGCGCTTCCAACAACAATAGTTTTAGATATCCCAACACCAAGGTATGTACTGTAGAAATGTGAAGCCACAGAAATTTATCCTTCATATTCAGGAGGTCCTCAGTTGAATCCTTGGCCTGGGTGCCAGGTACTGTGACCAAGATTTATCATGGATTTCATCAATCCTCTCAGGAAAATGGTGGGTGAAGCCCTGAATGCTTTATTATTCTCCCGAACTTACCATTCACAGTATTCCTCCCACAACGTATGCAACTGAGAAGCATTAAGTACATGGGAAACATCCGGTTGATATCCTTGCTGGCATCTGGCCGTCTTCACAAATTTCTTTACAGATTTCCTCAGTCTTTCAATGCAAATGCTGGTATAATATTACTACTGTATCTTCAATAACTCAACTGAATAAAAACCATCTGATATATCTGATCTATCCACCCTTCATGTTTCTGCTGTTCTGCTATCTTCAGGGATGTTCACCAGTTTTAGACGGTAAAGGGGTAAAGTTGTCCCTGTGCTTAACTAATTAAGCACTATGCCATGAAGGTGTGTGTGTGTGTGTGTGTGGGGGGGGGTGTATAGATCCACATTTTCTTGACCTCTGCACTAGCTGGAAGTGAGTGGTACCCCAGGGGTAAAGCAGCTGGTACATGAAACTGACCGTTCACTTCCATTTAGTGCCAAGGGTAAGAATGCATGGATTGTTCCCTCCTCCATATATGTTTATGGCAATGTGCTTAGTTAAGCTCAGGGATGACTTCATGTTTACTTGTGGGCCATAGATCCATCTTATTGTGAGTCACTTAGAAAATGATCCTTTCACATCCCTGTAAACATTAATGTAACTGTTTGAGACTCTTTCTTCCAGTGTTCGGAACACACTGCCCTTCCAGCTGCCTCGCTGGTTATTTTGGTTCGTTGTGGTTTTTTGTCCAAGAAGTGTTATAATGGTTAGAGACTATTGGAGGGAGAGGAAGCAGAGGAAGGAACAGAAGGAGCTGGATCAGTCGTAAGTCTTTTTCTGAAGATATTCCATTATGAATTTGTTTATGAAAGCCATAAGGAACTTTTGTTGTGATAGATCACAAACATTATCCAGAGTGAAATTTGAGTTTATGTCTCACAGTTTCCAGTGAAAACAGATGTGCATAAAGGAGAGTGTCAAGCATGCTAAGATCTTTCCAGATTTTCTTGTTGATTTATGTTTGAAAGAGATGATATTCTGTTGGACTGTGATTTGTAAAGAATCAGCAGTCATATGTAATATTATTACTTCATGTCTGCAAGATCCCACTGTTAACTTTAGAATCTATAGGAACGGTCACAAAATTTTGGCATGAAAGTCATCACTAGTACTGCTCCTGAATGCATGCTTTTTAAATATCTGCAAAGCCTAGCTAGATCGATAGGCTGTGGTACCAGTCTACACAGGATTTTTAAATGTTAGAAGATGGTAAACATTTAAAATATGTGAAACTTGATTGGGAGTAATTTGGACAATAAATAACCAACCACACAAAGTATTTGCCTATAACATTAAAAAAAGTAAAGCTATCCCTGTGGCCGTGGAGGCCCATAGGGTCATGAGATGTCAAGGCTTCCGTACTTTCTAGACATTAGGCTTACAGATGGCGGTGAGGTTGTCAGCCTTACATGCTGGCCACCCTTTATGCCCAGGGCCATAGTGTGGCTGGAAGGATTAGGTCAATTGAAAAAACCAGTGACCTCATTGGGTATCAAATCCATGACCTTCTGGCTTGTGGCATAGTTCCTCAACCAACTACACTAATGCGTACCTCACCTATGACAGTAAGCCCTTTTATAACATATCTTTGTTATTTGTTGAACATAGGTCAGAGGAAGAGGAAGAAGTTGAAGTGGAGGTTCGTGGACCACGTCGTCGAAAAGGCAGAGTATTCCAAGTGCCAGAATTGGGAGCAGAAATCCAGAGTCAACCTGGGAAGACTGAAAGTTGTTTGTTGGACCCAGAAAAATCTCCTTCAGACTCTGCTGATACTGAGAGTAAATCCTCTTCAGCACTGTCTGGGGGATTATGGACAGATGATGATATAATTGAATTAGTACGTCTTGTCAAGAAGTTTCCTCCAGGTACAGCATCCCGATGGGAAAAGATCGCAAATATGATGGGTCGTTCTGTGGCCGAGGTGACTCACATGGCTAAGAAAGTAAAGGAAGATGGCTACAGAGTTGCTTCACCAACTGTAGAACAAGAACCTTTAAAACCTGCGAAAGTGAAGACAAGAAATACAGTTATGTCACCTGAGACTGAATGGAGTCAGATACAACAGAAAGCACTTGAAGCAGCCCTAACAAAGTATCCAAAAGGAGCAAATGCTGACCGATGGGAGAAAGTTGCAAAATGTGTTCCAGGAAAAAGTAAGGTGAGGTGTACAGTCCATAAAATTGGGCAGTTGTATAGCTTTGTAGGATGAGGAAACTGTGACAATTCTTGGTATGGCATTAAGAATTTTAACAATTATATAACAGCCTGCATTGTTCAGTATGCTTGTGCAGACAACTGCATTATGGAGACTGTGTTCACATCCATATACATGTTCTGACTTCTGACTTGAGTTGATCTTTTCAAATGGACAGTTTGTATATCATCAAATTTGGTGGAAACAAATTCTGCAATATTAGGGTTTTTAAGTGAAGGAGTATATGATGGCTGGGACATGCAATGCAGTTCTTTGATTTACACATTAGTTAACGTTTATCAGTCATGCAGTGCGTTATTGAACCAGCACATACATGCAATCCAGCTGGCATAGCATTGTATATTTTAAGTAGACTCTACTAGTACCATTGCCCCCAAATTAAAATACAGCCACCAGATATATAATCTGTATTTGTAGAGGATACACTGTCACCCTTAAACTGAAATGTGGCCATCAACCCTGTAGTACTGGGAGACTTAAATGTCCAGTGAGATAGGATAGCAGTTTATAAATAATGAATGAATATATAATTGGAAGTAGGTGACCATGGCCTTTTTGAAAATACTGTGAAACATTTGCCATGAAAAATCTCAGAATAGCCAGTAACCCAGTCAATACTCAAATTGGGTATCTTCAGATTATCACAGTAACAATCTACTCACTTGAAGTTTGGACAAGGAGGGTCAGACAAGAATTGCATACAGAATTTTGGTGGGTAAATTTCTTTTGAAGTGGCTGCTTGGAAGACTAAGAGAGAGAAAGATATCACAGGCACATAAGTTGTGAGGATCTGAACTGGTTTAGGAATATGTTCAGTGGAGAGGTTTGATATTTTTAGAGTTAGAATTCCAGTGCTTGAATGACTGTCTCTGTTTTGTGTTTTGGGAGGAAGAGTGCATGCTTCGGTACAAACAGCTGGTGGAGATGGTTAAGAAAAGAAAGGTGAATGGGGCAGCTACATCACAGCAGCCATCTGAAGGTGGCGACGAAATAACTGACTCATAAAGCACCGTTATACTCAAGTGAGAGAGAACATGGTATTGTGCATTAAATTATTTAATAATTATTGTAATAATGTATAATATAGAACTTAATATGCTGTATGTTTTTGAAATAAAATTTTCAAACAATTACTGTCATGATTACAAGTAAATCCTTTGACTGCTTACGTTGTCCAGTTGCCATAATAACTATGTAAGTTATCACAAAAAGTAGTCTGTTAACAGATTAAGAACATTTTAAGGTAAGATGTGAGACCTGAATTCCTTGTATTGGTGAAAAAGATCAGTGTCTTCTGAGATGTGACATCATGTAATCTGGTGGAAGGTACCGGATTTTGGAGGAACCTGCCATCTCCATGTTCAGGATAGAAGAGTGAGCTATGCAGGAAAATGAGGGTATAGATTTATGGTGTGGCTTACTGTTATATCCTAAAGGTGGAGACAGCAGGTTCTTCCAAGACACTGGTAACTTTCTACTGGAATGAATGGAGTCACATCACAGAAGACAATAACATATGAGGGTAGTTACTCAAGAAGCATATGGAGATGCTTTCATACTGAAATCTGCTTATATGCAGTTCTTAATTTTGGATGCCTGACTGTATTTCCAAGAACAATTTCTATGCCTCGGCTCCCTTCATTAACAATTTAATATTTTCTGTGCTCCTGCCACCTGTATGGTTGGATTCTGGCTTTGATGCAGAACATACTGAGCACGAACATTCAACTGGTACTGAGACATGCAAAGAATGACTTGTCTCATCTTCACAGACAAGTGTCACATTCATGTGACGCAGTTTCGTGGGCGTGCAACAATGGCAGGAGCTGTCATGCAAGCCGGTCTCTGTAAAAAAAGCACAACTGTTACAAGGCTTTACACCTGTGAAGATTTTGATCATGTTCTTTGATGTTATCACTCTTTTATATTAAAAGAAGTGAAATTATTTAATTGCTGTAATTTATTCATATAATATGTGATGTGATATCCTGACAGTGGTCACTGAACATTTTCATTTTATGGCATGTCATGCCATTTAGTTTCATTGATGTTTACCAATGTTTCAGAGAAACCTGCCACTCTTCTATCCTGAAAATGGAGGCACAAATTTCCGCCATGACACTGGTGCTTATTTACTATACTGCATAGCATTACACTTCCAAACACAGTAATTTTGATATTCTTTTTGTGAGAACCTAAATCTCACACAGTACTCAACATAATTATCATTATAAAAGGCCTACTGTAATGTGTCTCGCTACATCATTTTAGACTGAGCTGAACAAGAAAAGTATTTTGTAAGCTCAGTGGTCATTTTACCAACATTCTTTATAACCTGCTCGGAATGTGACCTTCAGGTACAGAAAAGACCCATAAGCCTGTCTTTTATCCATTCAGGCATCCCACAGAACTGTTCCTATAAGCCAAAGCTACTGAATTAATTTGTGTAATTTTAAATACATTTTAATTACAATAAACTTTCATAGTCTCTCCCTCTATCTTGTAAATACATTTTCTTGTAGTCTACTCCCATTACATTTCAGTTGTGAAATATAGCAAAATAATAATAATAATAATGACAACAACAATAAATTAATAAAATAGTGATACAGCTTACTTGAATTGTAGACAGTACGAGAGTCACATTTTCCAATGCACTCAGCAAAACCATCAATTTTATGGGTGTTGGTACACCTGCCATAAGGTTCTCTGACAAGTGAAATTAATCCCACTGTGTTTTCTGGTGGTACTGCTACTGCTTCACACATTGGACCTGTCAGGGGCAATTAAATCCTACTAAATGTGCAGAATGAATCACATGAAAATAACATGTTACGAAAACATCATGGTGTTCTTGGTTATATGAATATAAGCTGGACAGCAGTTGGATGAGAATGAGTCATTGGTGCAGTGGCTTCAAATGGGTTTATTGTACCAGCCTCCAGTAATGAGGCTGATGGATTAGTGTGCTTCAGTCATTGCATTCACTTACCCTGACTTTCACTAGACACATTGCATTGCTGGCAGCAACCATCTGTGTAAATATTTTCAGGTGCACAGTTTAATTCTGGACATGTTGGCATCATGGTTGTTACCTATAAGATTTAGAAAACAATTCTTATTGACTGTTTCATCACTAATGTCAGTACTATTCCTCATTTAATTTTGTTTGTATAATTTATTTCACACATTCTCTGGTGCATCAAGACCCTGACTTCTACAGCATTGCTGAAAGTGTTTCAGACCTAGAGGGACAATTCTACAATACTGAAGAGATATCTGCCCTCCTTGTTCCCATATTTCAGAAATATCTGAATACCTGGAACCTTCTTTTAAATCTCTGAAACCTGCAAATCAGCTCAGTAATATTTAAAAATTCAGTTCCTGTCTTAAGTTAACGTTGTTTATGAAAAAAATCACTGTCTAGTCTCAGAATCATGGAAGCTTACAAAGTGAGAGAAGAAATACAAAATGCAGCCACTGGATATGAAGTTCTTGTAAAGTATTTTTGGAAAAATAAAAGGGATAGAATTAGAAATTAAATTTATAGAATTGGAATTCAAATTTTGTTAATGGGTTAGAAGAGAAATGATTACATTAATTCAGTTATATGAAAAGAATGGACAATCAAAATAGTGAGAAAGTCATTAGAATTAAAACTGAAAAGAAGAGGCATAATGGGATGATTCAGAACTAAATGGTGTAGTCTGGTAGAGAAAGACATCAAGAGGAGCAGAAAAAGCTACGAAGAAATTGGAAAGGAAAGACTGTTAGAAGGCAGAAGGGATTGGAGACTTTTGATCCATAAAAAGTAAAAAAGTAAAGCTATCCCTGTAACAGGCCATGAAGGCCCATAGGGTTGTGAGACGTTGATGGTCCCACATTATCTAGACAATCAGCTCAAAGATGGCGGTAAGGTTGTCAGCCTTACACGCCGGCCGCACTTTACTCCCCAGGAAAATTATTTATTTAATTCCTGGTACTCATTTCTGTTAGAGGCTGAGTGAACCCCAGGGCCATAGTGCGGCCAGAAGGATTAAGTCAATTGAAAAAAATCCAATGACCTCATCGGTGTTTGAATCCACGACCTTCCAACTTGTAGCATAGTGGACTTTTGATCCATAAAGAAACAAAAGTAATGGAAGAAGATAAAGAAGACTTAAATAACAGAATAGGAAATATTTTTCTACACGCAAACCACTTTCTATCGAACCCAACATGTCAGTTAAAGATACAATGATATGTAGACACTTACAGTGAAACTACTGCTACAGCTGTGGGTGAGACATCCATCATCAGATGACCACTCTGTTCCAGGCTTGTATAGTTTGTCGCCAATAAAACATGCAACCTGTTCGCACTTCCCACAGCAATGAAGAGAACCAGCATGTGGTGGTATGTATTGCCAGCCCTGCACACAAGTCGCCATATCACTACACTGTCTATTCATTCAAATGTCAAGCATATAGACCTTGCATTTACCAAGCACTCCTGAGTGCACAATGTAAATTCCTGTAGCCAAAGTGAACATTGCAGCATAATGGTTAGTATCCTCACTTCATAATACAGCAATACGTCACACAGTCCACGTAATCGGTTCCGCCCATATCCTGGACTGTTTGAAACCAGACTGATCGAGGAACTAAATACATACAAAAAATGATAATTGGTTCCAAAAAAAAAATCCATTTTTCAATAAATAAAACGTGATTAATAAATTCAAATGTCTTTATTAGAAATAATTTTAAAAAATTCATGTTTTTCACAATTCATTTTTTATTCTCTAAAAATTGCAATATTGATGTCTGCACATTTTTCTTCTTTTGACTTTTTTCTTCATACATTTCTTTGTAGCAACGAATTGCATTGTTTATTGTTCGGTGAATTGTAAGGCTACATTCAATATTGGGATCAACTTCCATAATATGCTCTGAGAAGGTTTCAACCAGTCAAATAATTTTTTATAGTTGTTCAGCTGTTAATTCTCGTACAGGCACTTCAACACAGTCGTCATCTAAGTTGTCCTCCAATTCTTCATAAGCCCGTTGTTCATCTATGTTAATAAGTGTTTCATTATCTAGTTCATTAGTGTTCGATTTGATGCACTCAATTACAGTGACGCAATCTAACTCACTGAAACCAAGTTGCTGTCCAGTTTCCACTATGTTATTAGTGACTTCAGCAAAATGAGTTTCAAAACCAATGAAATCATTTGCACAATGTGGTATGATATGTTTCCATACTGCCCTCATATTGCTTGCTGTTAATTCATGCGATGCTTTGCCTATATTTTAAATGATGTTTCTGATGTTGTAGCTCTTCCAAAATTCCATTAAAGTAGTGCTCTCCCCACCTCCTCCAGTGATAGCTGTCAGAGCTCAAGAATGAACGACCCGAGCATAGGTACATACATACACAACGGGGAACCCCAGAAAAATTGAAATATGTATCGTATCACATAACTTTAAAACCACAAAAAAAAAAAGAGACTTGACTGTATAAAGGGAAAAACCCAATCATTTATGTATTAAAAATAATTTTGTGTACTAATTTTTTAGAACTGATTTTTATTTTGCTCAATTAAAATTTAGTTTGTTTCGAAATTTTCAAATTGGACTATAGTGAATCCGGACTGATTGAAGCCAAACTATGCGAGGTATTGCTGTATTCTGTATACCCTTCTTGTTACTCCTTGGGGTCTTCCATACTTCGCTTACTCTTGTACTTAGTGTTGATTAGTATTTTTACAGTCTTACATGCAACACTATGTTCTAGGCTGCGCCATAGCTTAGGCTGTTTTCCACTGGCTTCCCACCATGGTGGCCCAGGTTCAAGCCTGGGTCTGGTCATGTGTGATTTGTGGTGGACAAAGTGGCGCTGAGGTGGGTTTTCTCCGAGTACTTTGGTTTCCCCTGCCAATCCTCATTCCACCAAATTCTCCAGCATCATAATCACCCGGGGCAGGCTACAATAGGCCAATCAGTGGCCGCCGTGCCAAGTGGACCCAGTTGGACTCCACCCCTAACTAAGTGAATTAAAAAAAAAAGGTCCTCCAAAACACTGGCAATAATCTACCAGATTACAAGATATCACATCTCATAAGACAGTGATTTTCAGGCTCTGTGGAGTTTATTGAACCTGATCTAGACCACACTAAATGGATATTCTAGTATCTAATACCTGTAGACCACTAGAAGTTCATTAATGTCCCTCCAAAATGTCTGTAAACTTCTATCAGTCTGCATGGCATTACATCCCTTTATGAGTCACCACTGTGAAAACCTCAAGTCTAAATGGAATGGTACATATTTCACCATTTAATTGTAATTACATATTTTCTACTATATGCAAAAAACTGTAACTGTTCTGTTTCCTCTGTGGAACTGATACGAGTACACTAACAGAAATTATGAATTTATCTCATACTCATACGAATATGCACAGCAGTCAGAGCTGTTAAAGGAATGTATCAGGTAGAGAGGACGTGATCTTTTCTTTCAATTATGTAAGTAAACTTACTTTCTTAATGTGAGTGCTGTTGTATCTTTAAGGGTTTGGCTACTATATATTGTGATAACTGTGTGTAATGCAACCATATTTGAGGCAAAGATTGGGTCCTCTTGTTTGTCATTCCTATAAGTAATAACAAATTATTATAATTATATACATAATTCTTTAAGGAGAGGTATGTAATTCTTACCAGAGCACATTCAGTGTTGCAGACTTGTGAATTTTCTTCCTTCCTCATCTGTCCATCTGTACCTTTTATACAAGTCAGATTCTTGCAAGGATCACCATCAGGTGAAGGCCAGCTCTCACCTTCCTAGAGACAAAGAAAGAAGCAGTTATGTCTCTTTGTTCCTAAGTCACACAAATAAAAGAATTCATGCATAAGGAACCCAACATGCGATGCACAGATGTTCCATAGTGCCAGACAACCTCAAGATCACTGTCACCATCACATATGCAGTTTAACTGTTGAGATATCATGGTATCTTCTCAAGAAGGATTTGGGCATTTTGCAGTATTTCCACTGTATAGTCAGATACACAGTAAGTGTTTGGACTAGTCGCTGGCTTCCCACCATGGCAGCTCAGGTTCGATCCCGGGTCTGGTCAAGTGGGATTTGTGGTGGACAAAGTGGCACTAGGGCAGGTTTTCTCCGAGTACTTCGGTTTCCCCTACTAATCTTCATTCCACCAATTGCTCCACAGTCACTCTCACCTATCATCTGGGACTGGTACAACAGACCAGAAGTGGCCGCAGTACAAGGGACTTAGTCCCACCCCACTAGCAATAAAAAAAAGTGTTTGGACTTTATTTTCAACTTTCCAATCATTTGCTGTTGCTGGATTTCTGAACTTCACACATCAGCCAGTACTGCAAACAGAACTGAATCTGTTTGTATGTGGATAAAAAGGAGAGGGACTTACTCCTTTTTCCCCTGAGGATGGAAATAGATGGAAGTGTGCAGTGCAGGTAGGGTAGGGAAGCAGAAGGTTGACTTTTTAATTTCCACAACCCATGTTCATTCTTTCCTTGACCCGAATATAGTTATCAAATACTTGTGATATGCTGGTAACCTTGTAAATGTTATCACCAACTCTGCAGGCAACTGGAACTATCTTATTGCAGCACTGGTGTGGAACTGGTTCTTCATTCAACACATACTCTGTCTCCAGTTCTAGTGGAGGAAGAGGACACTTCTCAGTCACCGAGTGCACCACGTGCTGTACAGAAGTCATGGAATACTAAAAATATGCATTACCAGGCTCATTTGCAAAATACATTAAATATTCTGTAAAGGCTCAGTACACACAGCACACAGTACCAGTGTTACTGAAGCAGGAAGCAGCAAGTATAAGGAAAAAGTGCTGTAGAGGATGCATGAACCACCTAAAAATGAAGGAAGGCATGACAGATGCAACTTACAAATTTATCTAACACTTTGAAACATGCAATTTCTCTCCATAATGCTTAAAAATTTCGTCCCATGGCACAGACAACACACTGCACTTCCATTACAAAGATCAGTCAGTTAATGCTGCTTAGGGAAATAACTGTTTACTTTGAGAATCTTAAGAAATCCACTAATACACTCTGTGGATAAAGCACAGACATTTTAATGTTATGGGAGGTGGTACAAATAGTAAACACTGTGCTTTAAACAGTTAAATGAAATGAAAAATTAATGGACAAGAATTCTGTTAGCAGGACTTGGCAATCAAAAGTCAAATTTAACCAGTTTGTATGTTATGAAGATGACAATAACATTTCCACTGTTATCCTTAAATAAAACACTAAACACATGTATCACATGTGTACACAGATATGTGATCCATGTCAACTTACACTTCCATTATGAAGCAAGCAGAAGTTGGTTGTACACAGATCAGCGGATGTCCAATTTGAGTTCACCTCCTTCAATTTACCATCAACCACACAAGCAAACTGACGACAATGACCGCAACATTTGTTTGCCGGAGGTTTCACATTCTCAAAACCCTAGAAATATACACAAATAAAAAGTACCTTTTACCTCAAGGGAGCACTTAACCCCTTCCTATCCATTTTACTTTCAACCTCATTCCAGCCAGATACAAATAAATTTTGGAAAAATTAAAAAAAGTAGTAGTTTGGTATGGGAAAATACAAAACACCTGTTTATGTTATCTCTGCATGCAACATACTAGAAAAGACGTCAAGGAATTTAAAGAGCGATGGTAAAACACTCAGCATGAAATTATAATGTGGCTCTAAATTCATGAAGTTAGTGCTGACAGAATTCTGACACTGGAATTATACGAGGTAAATGTGTCAGATATCTTCCAAAAATGGAAAAGAAAATGTAACATCAACAGCTGTACACAGCCTTCTGCATCAAACCCAATTCATTTTCATACTCCTAATCACTGCTACATAACCTATAAGATAAAGTAATCCCTGTACTTCACTAAGCACAATGCCATGACGATGTATGGATGAATGGAGAGATGTACTCATTGGATAGGTCACTGGGTGGGTCCCAAATCAGCTCTGAACACTGTGAAGAACCCCTTCCCTTCTATTTCTCATTTGTCCAGCCTGAAGCCTAGCCATAACCAACGTACATGATAAATTTTCATTATACAAATCGAGACACAAGCAATAACCCCATTTAACATCATGTCAATATAGAGAAAATTTGAGTAGAATACCAGTTCACACTGAACGTCGCATTTCTGTATCTTCTGGACTTTCTGCACCATGCCGGTCACTGCCTGACATGTGTATGTTTCACAGGGATCACCATTTGGTGATGGCCACTCAGAGCCAACCTGGAAGTTAAATCAAAGTAAACTGTCCTCATAAACACATTTATGAACTGCAATTCTTATTTATCATACTACTTTGCACAAAGTGTGTGCAGTGAACATGTACACAGGATATATTCATCTCTGGAACTATGGAATAAAATTATTTTTATATTTGCACTCGGTATTCTACATTAAAAGTAGTCAGGGAAATCAGTCTGATATAATCTCAACTTGGTATGAAACTCAAGCTGAACTTCAATAATATTCTCAGCAAGATTATAAAAGTGTACAGTGCACACCATGAGGCCCGTGTGGTAAACATGAATTATAAATGGCATGATAACATCCTTGTTCTTGAAATTATTTACAAGAACAGAAAATGTATCTGATATGAGAAAGTAAACTGATATCCTGTAATTCTAGAGGGGCCACATACAACAGACTGAATAATAAAGACGATGATGAACTTTTACCTTACAATAAACAAACGTTAAATTCACATGAGACTAATCACTCTTAATTAAGATTTATTCGGATTGGTGAGAAGTCAAAACCATAGGCTTATACTAAATGAACAAATAATTTTATGGTCTCACTGTTTACTGTTATTATATATATAAATTCATTGTTATTCTTTAAAGCCACTTTGTAACAGAGTGTTTTATTAAAATAATATAACAAATAAGTGTAGTATTTGAGGTTGTCACAGCAGTGGTTATGAAGAGTTCTATCTTCTGGGAAACAACACTGTGCAGTCTGTTCAAAGTTAACTGAAATTTTGGAGGAAGATGTTGCCTCCATCTGTTTGTTGCCTGATTCCTGCTGGTCTCTTGTTTGGCTTATTCTTCAACCTTGAAGATGGAGGTGACACATTCCTCTGAAACACTGGCTGGCTTTCAACAGACTACACAGTGTTATATCCCAGAACAAGTCTGATTTCAACGTAGTAAAAACTCATGTAAACCTACAAATTCAGGTTGGGGAATGCTATGTTTAATTATTATCAAGAAGTAAGAGACTTCAGTAACCTTTGGATGCACTTAGATGACTGCTGTTGACTGCTAAATACAAACTTCAGAAACACATATACAGCCCAACAAGTCATGAAACAACTGCTGAAAATGACTCAGAACTGAAGGACACTCTAAAATAACATTAATATGATAAACTAGATGTTCGTACCTTGTAAACTGAATCTCCCTCTTTGCAAGCTATCCTCACAATGCTGGGACAGCACTGGTTGGGCACTAGAACCTTCTCTAGTTCATACTCTGCTGCTTCCTTTTCATTTGAGAAGTCGGAGCAGGTCTGGACTTTGCATACAGGATGATATCCTCCTGCAGAAGTCCCTTCACACTGACAAGTACGGCAAGGACCGTCATCCCAATGGGAGCCAGGCTGCAACATTAAAATAAAAGGAATAGAGCCCACAGGGAATAAAAAATGTAAGGAGTACTACCTTCTGGGATGAGAGGCTGTGTAGTTCTCAACGTTTCAGAGGAGCACAATGCATCCAGTTCTGCCTGACGAATGCTTTTTGCCAGTTACTTGCTTGGCTTACTCTTTGACCCTAAACATGGAACCAGTACAGATCTCCAAAACTTCAGTGAAGTTCTACTGGGATACATAGCATCACATCTCACAAGACTGTACTCCTCATAGTCACTGCTATGACAGTCACATCCAAAATATAACATACTTAAGATTAACAAACGGTATTATTACTGACCAATGGAAACAGACAATATCATTGTTCATGGTCACATTACAATTTCCTTCACATCAACTATCATGTACTATAAATGTGAAGGGTACATCCACTTCTTGTTACTGAGACAGAGACATGTAAAATATCCAAAACGTCCTCAAGGCAGTCCACCATAGCACTGTGACGTATTTGAGCTATGCAGGACACCCCCTCCCATGCCAGCGGTGACATAACAGCTTCGGAGCGCTACTGCTATGGTAACAGACCAGTCAACACTCCGCCCCCTTCCGTGGTGACATAACAGCACTTCCCACTGTGACGTAACACGGGACACCGCTGTTGATACAGGCAACATGGAACAGTATAAAAAGCCGGCTGAGCAGTATGTGAAGAGAGCGTGTGATTAGTAGTGACAGAGTGTGGATCGTGAAGTCGCCGAGTGCAGTTGCCGAGAGCAGGAGAAGTATCTGTGATACTGCTGATGGCAGTAGTTGTTAAATTGTAAATTGTGTGAGTGTAAGAGCGAGTGTTCAGTAAATATATCCAAGATGGCGTGAAGTTATTTGTCACGTGCATACCCAACACGTGACTATCATACAAAAATGGGAACATCACTCTCAAAATTTAGTAACAGTTTTCCTCAGAACCAGTCAAATCTCTTTCATGATATTGAATTAACTGCTGACATTTGTAGGGACATTTTTATATTAATATTTCCATAACAGATTCCTCAAAAACTGGGCTACCACACAGCTTCAGTAGACAGACATTGCCATCCATACTCTGCCATAAGGACATCAAATCTCATGACTGTCTTCATGCTTATCCATTGCAACGATACCATGAAAGTCCATCATATCAGTTCACTATATGTAATGGATACTATAGCTAAAAAGAAAGTGGAACACAGAAGTACCTGCTTGGGAGAAATAAATTTTTCATCTGTTTTCCGAGGCCTTTCACCTCCAGCAGCATCAGATATATACCGATATTCATATAGACAGATATCCTTTGGAGGCTCTGAAACATATGAGAATTACGTACATTGAAAGTATAGAATGAAGGAAAGTGTGCCTACTAATGTGCCATAATGAACAAAATATCCTTCAATTCTGAATCGCATAAGCATGTCACTTTAATGAACTGCTACAAGAATGGCATCCATAACAATTCCCAAACCTTCATTTCAGTATGTGTTATTTCAATTCCTACTTGATTTCTCTTGAGTTACATAGTTACCTAAAAAGTAAAGTAGGCCCTGTGCTATTATTATTATTATTATTATTATTATTATTAGAGGGGGTGGGTTTCCCCATGCACTTAGACCAGTCATTGGTCCATTGTGCGTCCCCCTTTAATTTCTACTGTCGCCATACCATACTGGTACTGGTGCATGCTATCAGCCCCGTTCAGCCAACGAGGTCGGCCCTCGGTACCTGATATTTCCCCCATCTACCAGAGACACTGGAAACTACATGGGCGGGAAACTTGTTACCTAATTTTGCTCAGAGGTCTCCTAGAGACATGAGGATCTTTTACGTGTGGTAAATCTACGACATGGGACCCACGGCTTAAAGTCCCTCCCGGAGGACTTCTTCCCTGAATATTTCCGCCCTTAAAAATTCCACCACCTCCACTTGGTTTCAACCTGCATACTTTGAGTCATGTGGGGGGAGCATTACCCCTAGACTACGGAGGCCGCTAGGCCCTGTGCTATGAAAATGTATGTGAGAGCAGAGGTACAGCTCCACCATTCTTGACCTAGGCACTAGATGGAGGTGAGTGGTCTCCTTCACCCCCCTGCTGCTTTGCCCCCAGGGAAAGAGCCACCAGTACCCACTGGATATGAGGCTTGATGGGCCCTAGAGCCACTCACGATGATGTAAAGAAGAGAAATATTTGCCTCGGCCAGGAACAGAAACCTGACCATCCAGCCTATAGCCTGTTGCTATACCAACTGAGCTATTCCTGCTCACATAGTAATGTAAAAGAGAAAAAATAAGTCAGCACAGTACATATGGCTGGACAATAATAACTCAGCTGCGAAATGTGTAAATATTGCTATGTTTCAGTTTACCTCAATATTACACAATATTATTAACCAGCTGGTTAACACCACTTCTAAGAACAAAAAATGAAGAAATATTTACCACACTTATATTGTGGACAACATTCTCCATTAATCACTGGGAGCTCCTCAAGCTTGAAGTGCTCTTGACAAGGCTTTGGTTTAGGACATCTGTCTTGTCGACACTCCCATTTCAGTCGCGGACAGCACCCTTTTGTATCATTCACCTGAACCCAGCCATGACCTCTGTGTGGACCCTGAGGTCTACCATTTAGTGCAGCACCTTCCAGATCTAATGGATTTACTTCAACATCTACATCTTGTGTTCCTTCTTCCTGAGGCTCACAAGGTTTGCAAGCTGTCAACAAACACAATGTTAAGGCAGAGCATCCAGTGATGCTTTATCTGTCTGCAGTTTCTCTAATTACAGTCACAGAATTCATAATAATGTTACAATCACTGGAAATTCAACTGGAAGCCTCATCAGTTGTTAGGTAAGCTTTCATACTTTTATTTCCTTGCTATTTCCTGCATTCCTTTCCAATCCTACATGTTATCTAATGATACATCAAGGTTGATGTTGAACACCATATCCCATGAATAACATACACACTGCTTGCTAGTTCCTACAGTAGGCATAACTTATGTTCCCACAATGTATTAATGATCAATGATTCATTGCTATGGTAACCTGAAATTCTGTAACTTCAGAGCTTTCATCTCACTGTTACATTATAACAAGAGAGATAATAAATTTTTCACTATTGCAGTGCTTGTATATGTGTGTACAGAGGGATTCTTTCAATTTAACGTTTACTTACTTTTCAATCTATTCTAAGGGAGAAATAACCCTACATAATTAGTAAAATAATGTAAGATTTGAGACAATACAGCTTGTATTACTATATTTTTACCCAATTTGAAACTTCTGCTTTTTGGGTTTAGCTACACTGTATGTCAGAGCTCTTGAAATGTTTCAGGATACAATGCATTTGCCATCTTCAGGGTGAATGTGGCAGAAGAACAATATAGCCCAATGTATATGTCTTACAGTGGGAGTAAGGGTGAGGGCGTGGAGCATGATGCTATCCAATGGGAAGGGGGTCATGTGGTAAAGCAGAAGGTTCTCTCTCTAATTTTCTATTTAACCACATGAACCCCACCCTTACTCAGACTGCAAGACCCTTCCACCTCATTCACTGTGGAGATGGTGACTGCAAGGCACTTTGTAAAGCTTTGATGCAGCTTCAGCGTGTGATGTGGCTAAGTCCTGAAAGCCAAAGTTACACATTTTGTCACTATAATATGTACAATGTCTACTAATTGGATTCATCCATGCTGAAGTTCAATGATAGGCTTTTTGTTGGCGATATTCGATCATCAAGTTTGAACACAACAGAATCTGTTAATTACATGGACTAAAGTGAAACTTTAAACTTGAAACATGAAAATTAAATTACGTGACTCACCACAAACAAACTCAGTGCAGCCATGAGTATTAGTGGTGCTCTGTACATGCTGATCATCATGACACAGTGGTATTTGGAACTCAGGGCATGGCACTTCTGTGGGTTCTGCTGTTGGTGATAGAACTGCAATCACATATTGAAAAGCTGTGCCACTTGACAACAGTAACTTTTTTTTTCATAAAAATGTGAACGTCAAGAACACATAGGTCAGTTGTAAAATACAATCAATCATTAAACACATGCCAGTTGGTGCAAACAATAAGCCCTGATTTCTTTCAGTAGGAAACAAAAATGTAGAGTACTGCTAGAAAAAATGCCTCAATCACTCTGGCAGTTAATGGTGAAACAGAGTTCTGTTGCACCAAGTAAAAACTACGTTCTCACAGCAGTAAATATTAACATTACATTATTCTGAGAATTGACACCATGTAGTCTGGCAGATACACAGATATATACAAACTTCATTAATTAATGACAAAGTAAGTACAGTCTCTCCTATAACAAAATATAAGTGCTTAAAAAGTAGGCAATACAAAAGACTACAAAAGCTGAATATTATAAAAAAATATACAAAGGAATCAATATTTTGATATAAAATCTTCTGTAGAACAAAAAACATGTGTGAGAAGATAATTCCTTAAAGCAGACTTAAAAAAAGGTCTTAATATTTTTTATTCTAGATATACTAGGTGGCAATTTATTGAATATTTTACAGCAGAATATGGAATATCTTTCTGGATAGCAGAAAGTGTAACTAAGGGTAGGTACCAATGTTTCAGAGCAACCTCCTGCCTCCACCTTTAGTGAAGAAGGATAGCTTTAACCCTGAAGACGAAGGTAGGAGATTCCCTTGAAACATAATTAGTACCTAGGTACTAAATTACATGGTGTCACACCCCAGAAAATCATAATCACAGCAAGACTTGTGTTGCATTTAAAACACAACTATATGGATAAAATAAGTGGATCAAAGAATAAGATTGGAAACACTTTACACTGGACAAAAAATCATGTATCCTTAGAGAGGTTAATTCTGTGAAGGGTTCACCTAAATTTACAGCTTCCAATTAGACTGCAGAACACATGATTTATAACTGCCTCCAAAACACAGCTTCACATACTTGTGGGCACAGAAATATGTAAGCAATACTGCATTGAGGTACATACCACAGAAATATTTTTGGCAACAGTCATCTTCTGTGCCAGGAACTGCTACTGTAGTCATCTCTTTATCACACACTGTCTCAACAGCTGGACATTCAGTTTTCAAACATGCTACTTTTCCATCTGGAACAGAAGTACTTACTCAAAATAACCTTCACCTTGTACCTTGTTACATTTTCATAGTAAAAAAGCAAAAAAAAAAGTAAAGCTATCCCTGTAAGAGGTTGTGAAGGCCCATAGGGTTGTGAGACGTTGAGGGTTCCACATTATCTAGAAAATCTGCTCAAAGATGGCGGTAAGGTTGTCAGACTTATGTAGCCATTTCATTTGTTAGGTTTTATGTAATCTAGACAGCAGTGAGTGAGATCTTTCATAATTTATACAGTTTCAATAAACATAATCAAATTTGTTCTATAATACATCAGCTAGCTCATCACAATCATTATCTTCATCCAAAATTCTAAATTGGTAAAAGTTTCACACACTTGAAATTAAGCCATTGCCACTGCATTTCACTTCGTATAAGTTATATTAACACCATTAACTGCAACTAATGACAAGGACATTTTCAAACTCTTTTTCATTTACAAATTACTTTGTGTTACATCTCATGTGTTTTGACTTTCTGGGAAATCACTGTCAGGGGCACAATTTGATACAGAAGAAAACAATTGATTTACAATACCGTTTTGAAATGAATCTCCAAAATATATGTAATTCTTAAGAAAGTATCAATTATACCTCATTTTCTTCCTGTTGTGTTACCTTATTCAATTGCAATTGTTATCCCTCACAACACAACACTCAAAGGTTTGTTCACAACAACTGCGTACGAGTTTATTGATCTCGATGGTGTCCTGCTACACGTTTTAGCTTACAGAAGCTATCATCAGGCAGGTAAACATTACTAGCTGTTCTCAAACTATGGAGTTACTTTCTATATAGGTAAATGTTACAATATTACAATTATTGCCCATATACTGGATTTCTATCATTCTGTTAAACTGCTAAAATTATTGCTTTTCTTATATACCTGCTGTCTAGAATAAAAATTTGTGCTAAATAGTATACCTTAGTTCATAATTAATAATCATACAACGATGATGACTTCCAAAAATTTTAAATTTGTACGATGTCATACACAATAATTTACAAACACACGAGGACTTGAACGATGCTACATTCTAGAATGTGGCATGGTGTAATATGGTAGAAGTTTATGCTTGCTGGCTTCCTTTATTTACTCTCTAACCCTACAAAACAGAACTTGATAACATACTCATCCTAATTCACTGCATTTGGAAGTTTAACATTATTTATGTTATACACACTATTCACTAGTAAGATACCTGTACTTCCTACATATCACTGTGGCTACATAAATGGGTATAAGTTTAAATGCTCCACTGTCAATGTGCTAATTGATGCAAATTGTGTGTAAAAAAAAGTTCACCTGCATCTACAGTCTCACTGTACCTTTTGAGCAGGTGCATGTTGTACAGTTGTCAGGATTCCACATCTGGCCTGGAAGATGACCTTCCTCGTCACAAGGGAAGCAATGTATGAAATCTTTACAGACACCATCAATGAGGACCTGAGGACATGTAAAATTACCTCGCTCTATGTATATAGAGATGGACAGTCCAATATAAAATGAATTCTCTGGAATGTGATACCATGTAGTTTATTAGATACATACCAACGTTTTGGAGGAAAGTACTTCTTCCAGCTTCATGGTAGAAGAGTTCCCATTCTACTGTTCTATACTGAAGATGACAGCCACGCCATAGCTCAAGCAGATAGTTGCTGGCTTCCCACCACGGCAGCCCAGGTTCGATCCCGGGTCTGGTCAAGTGGGATTTGTGGTGGACAAAGTGGCGCTGGGGCGGGTTTTCTCCGAGTACTTCGGTTTCCCCTGCTAATCTTCATCCCACCAAATTCTCCATCATCATAATCACCCGGGACAGGCTACAACAGGCCAACCAGTGGCTGCAGTACTGAGTGGACCCAATTGGACTCCACCCCCCAATAAGTGAATTAATAAAAAATTACTGAAGATGGAAGCAGCAGCTTCATCAAGAACACTTCATCTGTCTACCAAACCACATGGTGTCACACAGCAGGAGATAAGTGAGCTTAATATGCTCCACAGTGTGACACACCATATCTCACAAAACTGGATAACTAGTAGGTTACTCTAAGTCCTCTCACTAACTTCAGGTGTCTTGTTGCCTCAGTTTGCCCTCATTTTGTTACTGAAGAAATTCATTGAATGATCCAAACTTTAGCTACAAGCTGTTGAATTGTCACACAGACATCATTTCAGTTAAAAGATTATTAAGGAACGTTAAAAGAATTGTATGGACTTCGCTATATGCACTTAAAATCAGCACACACATTTTCAGTACAATGTTCATAAAAAGTCTATAACAACAGAGGTGAATAAAGTAAAATTAAAGTGAAGTATGAATAAATTTTTTTCTCAACAAAATAAAAAAAAAAACATGAATTTCACAGATGTCACTGCATATGCGACTTCAACAAACTGTAATAAGTGAAGTGTCTCTAACCTGGCCATCTGGGCAGAAACAGCCATCTACTTGACTAAGATCACAAGAACTAGGGTCTTCTCTCAAACTCTTGTAATTGTCACAAGTCTGGGGGCAGCCAAGACCACATGCACGAAACACAAAACCTGCCATATAATGAGAAAGCATTCAGCTAAAAATTCAAACACATGACACATATAACATTTCCTCAGTTCAGAGATCAGATCTACTACTGCCCAATAATACCTGAAATTCATTAATACACATGACACTATTCAAGCCAATAAATAAAGAAATAACTAAAAGAAAAACACAAAGTTGACTAGAAATACATTACTGTACAGTACTGTACATTTATACATATATATTCAACTACTTCTACTGGGCTCAAAGTTCCAACCAGGTGAACACAGATGAACATAACTTAATAATGCCTATACCACAGCTTCTGGCTGATTGAAGACACTGAAAATCTCATATTTCTCTTACATTATCATGGGTCTGCATGACAGCTGCCTTACCTTCTGGACATGTATATGGACAGGAAGCATTTGTCCGCCAGTTGAGACATAGTCCAGCTTGCATGCATGCTCTGGCATATGCTTCTAAGTCACGACATGAAGAAGACTGTTTGTCAGTACTGTGGCACCTGTCATACTGGCAGGCAGCCACATATGGGTAAGGATCCACCAAAGGATGACACTGCAATGACACCACATATCATGTAACTTAGCATAAATGGAAATTACCTTTGGTATAGTGCACATTATCATAAGTAAACTTGACGTTTAACGGCCATGCAGGAACTCCTCCTTTTAATTGATATCAAATGCTGTACACTCTGATACAAATTCTTCATATCTAGTCACCACTCATTCACATTTAGGGGATCTGGTGATCTGGGGCACGACACAGGACTGTCCTTCTAAAGATACTCCATTTTATCCCCTGTCAGATACTGAACAGGCTGGTCTAGCAGTAATGCCCTGAACCTGTTTTTGGGAGGTCCTACATTCAAATTTTGGCCAGGACACCAGTTATCCTTACTGAGGTTATCATGGTTTTCGTCGGCCCCTCTAAGCAAATGCTGGGATAGTACCTTAATTAGGCCATTACCTATTCCTTCCAAATTCTTTCCAATTCACCACACAGTGCAGATTCCAACTGCTTTTTCAACTTTATTTTCGTCCATAACTAAAGTGAATAAAATTGGACATGTAAAAAATAAAAGCGAATACATTATAATGTCAAAGTCACATAAAAATTACACAGTGCTCTGTCACGATAATATAACAACCATTATAAGGTACATAACAATAAAAGATGTGTAAGACCAAAAGAAAAATATCAGTAATATAAAACATGCAAACACAATAGTAAAGATTGCAAACCTAAAGACAACCAACAAACTAGTCATCAATCCAACATTAGCGAAAAATTCTTGAAGAGAATAGAAAGTGCTGCCCAGCAAAAAAATTTGAGCTTCCTCTTAAAAACATTTAGATCTGTATGCAGTTTTTTCTTCTTCTCACAGATTATAACGTTTACTTTCAGAATGTGAAGAACATCAGCCCCACGTTTTGTCACCAACATTCGGCTATAGGCTCCCTCTATTGCCCATCATTCTCATGGTCACCGTCACTGGCAGTAACACAATATGACCCACTGATGGCTAAAGCACAGAAATGGATATTAAGTGCTTGTCAGGGAGTGGGCAGAGACCAGGAAGGTCCACAAACCATACATGGAGCCACAAGAAACAAAGAGACCAGCTAATTAATGTGTCACATTCATATGGCCTTCCAGCAAGTGATATGACAGTCAGTCAAAATCAATTAAATATTTTCATTTTTCTACATGCAGATCCGCAAGACTTCAGATCACACATCAAATTCAGTCTTAATTTCTGAAGACATATCTTCTGGATGGGCACGTGGTAGCGTAGTTGGTTGAGGCACTATGCCACAAGCCAGAAGGTCGCAGGTTTGATTCCCGATGAGATCATTGGATTTTTCAATTGAGCTAATCCTTCCAGCCGCACTATGGCCCTGAAGATGACTCAGCCTCTAACAGAAATGAGTTCCAGGATTCTTCCTGGTGTAAAAGGAGAAAGTATGCAAGTCAGTGAATAAGATTGGCTCTAAGGGGCCCAACTTAGTTCAATCCTTTTCCCGTTTTACACCTGATGATAGAACCAGAACCTGCCTCCAAAATATCATGCAGTTTCAATACTTAAACTATATACTTAATGCCCAACACAATAATTTTATAATGACAAGATTTATGTAATAACTCACCCCTCCAAATCTCTCTTCATCCAAAATCTTGAAACACGGATCCTTATCAGGATGTAGTGGCATGCACGCACCAGGTTCAGGAATCACAGTACACCCTGTTTCTGATGGTAGTTGATGAAGCCAGCTCTTACCAAATTCATCCGTATCTTTGGTAACTGTTCCATACTTTGTCATGAAATCATCCTTGTTGTCATTGTTGCAGTTACCTGTGTGTAATGAAACGAGATTAATAAGTTCACATAAAATGGATACTTCTCTTAGGAACTGGAGTAAAAATTAAACCATCAGCAAATTCAATGTTAGCTATTTTGACAGAAGCAGATATATTGTCACGTGTAGGGTGGTACACGTGATGAAATGATGGGTCTTAGTTCGGATGATTGGATTTATTGTCACTTTGGTTACAATCTCTCTTAATCACACTTAAATTACAGGCAATACAGCGCTATCACTGATTTACACAAACTTCATAATTCATTGCAAAACAACACTCATGAAGTCTTCTAATTCACACGCAAATTCTTCACAGGCCAACCTCCAGTATTCTTCTGTACTCCTGGTTCCAATTCGATCTCTCGGCTTACAACTCAATTGAATGTCATTGCATTCACTTCTCTATAAGCTCTCTGCACTAGTCTCTCAAATTCCTTGAGCTCTCCTTAACTCTCCACAAACTCTGATTTAACCAAAGTAAAAGTCACATTGCAACTGACGGTCAGTCAGTCAGTTAGTAAGTCTTGGTGTCGAGCCTCATCTGGGGCTCATGATCAGATATTTATTACTGTTCGACAGATACAGTCTTGTTTTTGTGGGGCGCCCTCTCTGAGAAGAGGACAGGTTTGTCTTTTGTACATGCTGCTGGCCCTCACCAGTGCAGTCTTTCTCGGGTATGAGTCCCTTGGGTTTTACTGACTCAGATTTGAGACTTCCCTTTTTGTCGCCTCCTACAACTCACAGGGTCACGGTGGAGGTATTCGACCCTTAAACTGATATTTGTTATATAGGTTCCACTTGGATAACACAGAAAACAAGTCCTGTGATAGTTCATACTTTTGCAGTGTGATGTCATTATGCCTGCACAGAAGTCTGTTTACTGGGCCATTGCCTAGAAGCATGGGGCATAACCTTGCGCCACTGTTGCAAGCACGTATCGTATGTATTTACCAATCTGTTGCCTAGCAACACTCTGGCCATCCACTTTACAATATTAAACTTCTATGGATATTTTGTCATAATTTAGATACATTCTGGAATCTCTGAATCAGATCTACTCAGATATTCTGAATTACCTATATTCTGTTACCAAAGTATCAGACATTAATTTAAAATATGTTTTTACTTACCACAAAGTCCTTCTGTCATATTTCCGTAAGTATGTGAGGGAAGACGCACAACAAATGCAAAGTTATGGTAAAAGTATGAAACTTCCAGCTGAATCTCAGGTATTAGCACAGTCACTTCCATTCCCCGCACTTGTTCCATCTGCATCCAGTCATTAATCAATGGGAATTTATTTATGATGTTTCCATCAACAGAAGCTTCCAGCTGAAAAGAAAAAGAGATGTCAACATTCATTCTGATACAGTTCATTAAAAGGTAAAGTTGTTCCTTCATTTCTTCCAGAGAATGTACTCATATTTATGAATTTTGTATGATTCTTAGAAGAAACAGTGATTATTTCCCAACATAGGTTAACCTTTGTCTTTGTTACAGACATGCAACGTGTTTCCACTAAGATAAAAATTAAAAATGTAAAGCTATCCCTGTAACAGGCCGTGAAGGCCCATAGGGTTGTCAGACATCGAGGCTCCCACATTTTCTTGACAGTTGGCTCACAATTGACACTGAGGTTCTCAGCCTCACACACCACCCTCTCTTTACCTCCAAGAATATCCCTGGTACTCATTTCTGTTAGAGGCTGAGTTGACCACGGGACCATAGTGTGGCTGGGAGCCAGGATGGCACAGTCAGTACAGTGACTGGCTATGAGCTAGACAACCAAGGGCTCAAAATTCAAGTCCTGGTGGGTGTGAGATTTTTCTCCTCTCCACGTTGTCCAGACCACTTCTGGGGCCGACCCACTCTCCTATCCAATGGGTACCGGAGACTCTTTCCCTGGCAGTAAAGCGACAAGGCATGAAGCTGACCACTCACCTCCAACTAGTACCAAGGTCAAGAAAACTTCGATGATTAATTTGTTGTATTTGTGTAAAGACAATGAAATTAATGGTAACTAGATTTATATAATATTATTTAGATGACAAACTCCCTATATTAGGGTGGTACAGTGTATACTGTAAAGATATGTACAAGAATTAGATGTAAAACTGACAATTTTCTTATCCAAATGGTTGTAATACCTGTATGTATGGATTGTTGAATGATAATAAATGATAAATGATCCACACCCCCACATGTCTTCATGGCATAGTGCTTAATTAGTTAAGCACAGGGACTTTTCCTTTACCTTTACTGAAGTTTAATACATCAAAAAGAATTGCAATGTCCATATGGGAACCAAATACTGAATATTAAGCCCATATCCCTCAACTGATTGAGTTAAAATACCTGTCAAGATAAAAGATGTTTAGGATGTTACACTGTGTAGTTTTGTACATGGGTACAAATGTCCCATCCAGGGATGGTAATAGGTTTTCAGAGCTAGGTACATATTACAGGGCAAAATTAGGTGGACATTCCAGATCACCATAAAGGCCCAGGGGACTGAACAACACATATTAAAAGGAAATTATCAAATGCATTTACCTGCATCTACTCCCATTTCCAGGCCTGCTTTAGGCACTGGAAACAGCTCCATGAAAGCAGCTTTGGAACCAAGCAGATGGTATCTACCCATATCTAACCCTGTTTTTGGACATGTTTGCATTCAAGAAGACCATAATCTTGGCACTCATTGCCATAAGAACTTCACATCTCACATAATGGGCTTGTATTTGGATGAAATATAATAAAAAAAAATTGTGAAAGTAAGTACTGCTGACATAAATAAATAAATGGGATATGATAATGCTACAAAGCATACTGTCTTCTATGATATGAAGCCATATAATCTGGTAGAAGTTTACTAACAGTGTTGGAACGTACTGCTACTGTCTTCATGAGCAAAGAGTGAGTTAACCAAGGTACCAGCACATCCGACATGATAATACAAATTAATGCAATTAATATATATACCTCATGTGTTTTATCTCCTTCTTTCCTCTGAACATGAACTCTATGCCCTTGGTACTCAATTACCACACCCTTCGTGCATGTTGAAATTGGCTCATCTTTGCACTGGACATTGGTTACCAGAACCTGCAACAGAACAACAAATTCAAGGCTGACAATGAAAATAATGAAAACAGGACTATGGGTCTTATTTAACAAGTATCCTGTTGAAATTTCAACAGATAATTATTAAGATCAAACTTCATCAAACATACCTAACCTCAATAACTTTGAAAAGTTCTGAAGAAAAAGGAAAACAGATATGTTTATACTAAGACATTAAGCTTGATATGAGAACAATATGCAATTTCTGGTTCTGCTAGATGAATTTTCTGGCATAGGTGGACACTGTAATATCAACTGAAGCCTACCTTCCATTCCCATCCTTTTCTAATCCCATTTCTTTATACTTGTTAACACACATCATAACAGAAGAGTAAACTTTAGAGTTTTTTATATATATATACACACACACACAGATGCTGTATCAACTTGAAAAGCGAAGCAGCTTTGAATTGCTTTAATTTCTGAGAAGTAAGGCAAAGTTGTCCCTGTGCTTAACTAATTAAACCACTTTGCCATGAAGGCATATGTGGGAGTGGATGTATAGAGCCACATTTTCTTGACCTCTGCACTAGCTGGAGGTGAGTACTTCTGAGAAGTACCAAACAAAAAACAAATCACTCATTCGTGGAGCTGAGCCCTTCTTGAGAAGCCACCAACTGTGCAGCTACTCAAGAACTTCACAGCATTTTATGGAACCCAAAGGTTCATTACTGTGTTCAGAAGAGCCCTGCACTGGATAAAAATTACTTTAATATAATTTATATAATAATTTCAATATAAGTGGTGAGTAAAATCATAGAAATTAAAAGCTTTCAAGAATTCAGTTGCTATTACAGCATCATCACTTATTATTGCAGTACTGTTGTCAACCTCCCACCCCCCACCAGAAGTACCTTTACACTGCACAGTAGTAACACTTACTGTATCATGTCGTGTCTCCAAAACTTTCCAAAATCCATAATGTTCGTATTCTGTGAAACTGTAATTTCAAAAGTGTCCCCAGAGGGCTACAATGCATACGAGTGAATCAATGTAAGGGTTATCTGTGGACATGACACTTAGAGATGGGAACTGTCAGATTTCCCCATTAAATTATCAGTGGATATTCCATTAGAGAGACACAATTCTATGCATATTTTGTCTTTCTTTAAATTAATTTCAGGAAATCTAGAAAAATGCTTTGAGACAATTAATATGAATAAGATTAGACAAAAGAAAGAACCAACCTGAAAGGTATGTTTTCCATGTGGATTAATATCTCTTGCAGCAACGTAAGTACAGTTTCCATTAAATGTGTAGTTCGAACGATCAAATGTCAGGTACTGAGGATCACCAAATCCATCGCACACACCTGAAGTAACAACACATCATAGTGAAGTATCCAGTATCTTACAATGAGGCGCTGCGTTGTGAGAGAATTTCTGAGAGGATTCACAAATAAATTTCAATTTCAACTAACTGAGTATGGTGGTCTAGTAGTAATGTTCTAAATTTATATTTGGGACGTGCTCAGTTCAAAACTTGGCTGAGACATCAGCTACGTTAACTGAGGTTTCTCATGGTTCTCCTCAGCCTCTCCTTGCAAATACTGGATTGCACCTCAATTAGGCTATAACTAATTCATTCCAAATCCTTTTCAATTTATCCTTCAACAATCATCTTTCCATTTGCTGCTATGTGTCTCGATGTTGACAGCTTCACAAAATAACCCACTAACAGGATTCAGATGCATAAGAAGCTTTAGAAGACCTCTAAAACACGGAATGATTCCCAGGATTACTAAGTCTCTGGATTTTGTCCACCATCTAGTACTCTGATAGAATATAACGTTAACATTCTTCGTCAACGAAACCAACTGGGTAGGTATCACCTCACCCTTTCATCTGAGAATGGAAATAGATTCAGTTTCCAAAATGTGTTTTATTTAGAATACGGGTGCTAAACAATGAAGAATCCAGAAATCCAGAAACCCTGACAGTAATATAAAATGTCAGAACCTTTGAGAACAGAATGGTAAGATTCTGTTTCATAACAGCCTTCACGGATACACTTGTAGGAATGATGGTAATGGAGCAAAGAGACAATGCAGTACATACAGATTGTGTGCTTTACTCACAGTCACGGCATTCACTGGGCTTCACACACTTGTCTCCTTTCCGCACTAAGCCATCTGGACAGAAGCAGCCTGGAATGCAAGTACCAGACATAAAGGGGCACTGAGATCCATCCTTCATGCTGCTGCAACTTCGCTCACACTCCTGCTGGAAACAATCGTGGTACACAAGTGGAGGTGGGCAGAATGCCGCTGAAAGAGAAATGAACGTTGAAATCTGACACTGATAAAGAGTTCAGTTCTGTAATTTGTATATATATATATGTGTGTGTGTGTGTGTGTGAGAAGAGGGTGTTGAGGAGAATATTTGGACCGAAGAGACATGAAGTGACAGGAGGTTGAAGAAAACTGCATAATGAGGAGCTTCATAACTTGTACTCTTCTCCAAGTATAATTAGAATGATCAAGTCACGGAGGATGAGGTGGGCAGGGCATGTAGCACCAATGGGGGACAAAAGGAATGCATATAGGACATTGGTGGGAAAGCCAGAAGGAAAGAGGCCACTGAGAAGACCAAGGTGTAGGTGGGTGGACAGTATTAAAATGGATCATAGAGATAGGATGGGATGGGATGGATTGGATTGTGCTGGCTCACGATAGGGACCAGTGGAGGGCTCTTGTGAACATGGTAATGAACCTTTGGGTTCCATAAAATGCTGGGAAATTCTTGAGTAGCTGCAGATTTGGCTTCTCCTCAAGAAGGGCTCAGCTCCATAAGTAAGTAAGTAAGTAAGTAATGTTTGTTTCTTTGTTTGTTTCTTTGTTTATTCATTCATTCATTCATTCTATGCCACAGATGGAAGCAGTAGGTTCCTATGAAACATTTGTACCTGTCTACCAAACTACATGGTATCACATCATAGAAGAGTGTTATCACTATCATAAGAGCCTCATGTCATAGGTGCTGAGTGGAAGAGGTGGTTAGGTAGGCATCTGGATTTTTAGCAAAAATCAAATGTAAAAAAAAGAAGGAAATAAGACAACAATTAATACCAAAGATTTAAATCATATTTAAATGTGGCACCTTCTGTGTGTTCAGTACAGAGACCCACATCTCAAGGGCAACATGTAAAAACATTCAGAAACAAATTGAAGAAAATCTATATGCAAATTTTATAACTGTCTCACCCCATGAATAGCCCTAATGATACCTATGCATCAAATATTACATATGTTACAACACATTCTGTGGTTTAGTATTTACTAGTGATTGGTGTACGAGTGGTTACTTGGAAGTAACTATCAGTATATCAATTATGAAAATAATGATGCTGTCGGATGAATATCTGTATACTTACGGCAATCATGCTGCACACGCCATGAGGAGAGATCGACACTCGGGTCAGCAGCAGTGCACTGAGTTACAAAACCAAGAAGAGCCTGACATCGGCAGCCGGCCTCTGTAGATCTGGTAGCCTGCAGACATGAGCACGCTGTCTCGATGCAGTGAGAAATATATTCCTCCACACTCACTACTCCTCCACACTGTGCGAACAGTGGCTCTCTGTAATGACAAAGATTTCAGCGCTGCTTCTGGAGAAAGCAACAAAGGGCCTCAGTTTCATGATGGTGTGTTAAATATGATTATAATTTTTAACACTGACCAATATCCTGAGTCTCTATAAGTATAGTGTTTTGGAAATGTATCTGTTTGCATTGTCAGATAAAAGGGAGGAAAGTTCCACTCAGTTGGGACTGTTAGAAGGAGTCAGTTTCTCTTGATCGCTGAACACTCATTTAATGCACTTAGGTCTTTGATGACCATGCATTTACTTTATACACATAAATGTCAGTTAATCAAATAGAGTTCATATATCTATGCACATAAATTCTGCATTTTGGCTTAAGCTGAAAATATATCCATATTTACATTTATTTGGTTTCAGAACACCCACATGCTAACTCTGGTTATCCAATGAAGCTATTATGAAAAGATATACGCTCTTGATTTTCCAATTATAAAATAAATAAAACAAAATAAGATTTCAGGCTCTCACAGCTGTGGTTATGGTTAGTCTGGGATCAGACTAGATCTGTTATGGCCAAGGTAGGGCAACGGAAGTGCAAGACTCTTAGCAGTGTAAAAGTTTGTGAAGTTCATACTAATTGGGATATGTGATATGAAGATAACAATGAATCAGGTCATTTAGTGAGGATCAAATCAGAGCAAGACTAGCTCTTTCTGTAAGGTCCAAACAAGCACAATCCATGGGCTTTGTTTAGGAAATGGAGGCCAAACCTAGTAACTGTCCCTCCTCATATTTCTGTGAAGAACAAATGAAAAGAGTTATAAATATAGCAAGTATGAATGATACAAATTCTAAGATGTTTAAAAACTACTCCTCTATCCTGAATACTCTCAGGCAATCAGTAAGAACAATCTTAAGCAGTTTAAATGAAAGTTTGTGAATAAATTTTCTGTCTGCTCCCCCTCTCCCTTAAAAATCTGCCACCCTCTTAGAAAAAATCCTGGTGATCTCTATGGTAGAATCCTCTCCCCCTTGTAACTTGATGACAGAAATGGATCTCGTCTCTAGAACACTGTATATATCCACTATGCCTCCACAATAACATGCGCACAGTAAAGACACTGTCCCGTGAACTGTTTCAGTACACATCAAGATGATGACAGATGGCAGCTGCCAGCTATAGCCTCTTTGTTCTCCTTACCTGACAAGAGAGCACATGTGTAGAGCTTTTTCCTGAAGAGTGGGATGACACAAAACAGGTCTACATTTTGCTTCAAGGAAGGGATTAATCCAGCTGTCTGCAAATTCAGCTGTTGTTCTGCCTAGTTTTCCATCAGGCTTCATTTTATCATCTGTCATGTTCCGACTGAAGAACCCACACAGCCCATCAACATGGCCAGACATTTTGCCTGGCACCTGTTGGATGAGTCAGGTATTAACCAACAGAAAACACAAAAAAAGGGAGAATGAATAGAATACAAAATAAAATAAATGATGGTCAAAATACATAAACTAATGGCACTTTTATATGAAAGTGAAATGTCAGCTTAAAAAGCCTAATAAAATTCAAGCAAAGGAAACTGAATGTTTAACTCTTCTGCTATTGGCATTTTCATTTAAGATATGCACCTCATATATTAGGTAACTTTTCTCTAATTACCCACTTACAGAGCTATTCTTATCATTCATTAATAACAATGGAAATCTAGGACCTTTATTTGATTTAGCTTATAACACTGAGTAATAAGCAGGTGCCTTGTTTCTCCTTCCTCATTATCAGTCTAATGAGATATGAAAGGGACATGAAAGGAGGATATGGAAACTCATCCGCATCTCTCACAAGCTCACAAAAGGCAAGGCTAACCTTAGCTAATTATATTGCACCCCATGCAAAGGTAGTAAAGCACACAGACTGAACCATCAACAAGAGATGCTACATGTGGCCGTTTTTCAGTCAGAGAATTCAACTGTAGCTGAATGCAATAATGAAATAGGCCATTGAATATACTTAAAGGAAAAATCTACACTAAACAAAAGTACAAGATATGTGGGTCATTTAATTAATGTAACACTTTTTTTAATCACAAACAGTGCCTTTTCTCCAAACGAATATGTACCAGTACAAACACCAGCACCAACTGACAAATACTGGCAAACTTCTCAATAGTCCCATATATGCTGGCGCATTGTGTGTTTCAACTGTGAGGATAATACTCAGTATGAGAGTACAGGCAAACAAGTTTTTATATAAGAAGCATACCGTCTGTGACTTCATACTTACAGATATCTTTATGCTTTCCTGTGTATCCCACATGACCTGGAAACCATAGCGTCGTGACTGGAAGAGCAGAATGCCACCCACAAGTGACAATGTGAAGGACTCCTTCAGTTGTGAGCCAATTCTCTGTAACTGTACCACAAAGAAATAAAAGGAAATCACATTTAACATTCTGAACAAAACACCCCAGATGAAGATTAGAACTTTGAAGCTGTGCTCCTGTTCTTCCTGCTTACCCCTGTCCCTCTCACTAAGGCATGGTTCATGTGGCATCATTCCAACTGTACTCACAGTAATGTTCACTGATCATTACTCCGGTAACACCAAAATCATTTGATAATTTCACATCTTTAGAGTAGAACACACTTCTCCAGCGAACTTCTACAAACCTGTTGGATGTTATATGTGTAGCCATTAAAACGCACGCTCAAATCCGGATGGACCTGGATCTCATTTTCATCTTGAACTATAACAAGATGCAGAGTGCAAATGGCAGCCACATCTGGACAGTCTTTGTACACTGAAAAAACATATGTACCATATTTCACCCTCTGTGACAGTCATGGAAAAAACATGTTGACCACAGAACCTGACTATAAAATTCTAATCTTACCTGAGATATCCCAGTTGTCATTCTCAAGGTCTCGTGCCAGAATATGGTTACAGATATCATACTTGAACTTGGTACCGTCAAACATGTGGAAGGTTCGTCCTGTGATGTTGCAGGAGGCATGAGGCAGTGCAGGCGGAATGCAGGTGTAGATGGGGCATTTAAGCTTAATATTATTCTTTTTACTGACAGCCTGCAGCGTGTATTTGTGTGGGCATTTAGGTACAGTACACTCTTCTACAGCTACACACGTGAATTCCTGACATGACTCTCCCTCCAAAAGCTTCTGAGGTTTCGGTAGCATATTGTTGATTCTTCCAATTTTCCTTCCACCCTTAACACCTATGAAAGGAAAACAGAGGGCAAACAGTCAATATTTAATAACTGACTATAACACACAAAAGAAAATAAATATTTTTTAAAAAATATTAACTTATTTGTGGCTTACTTTCTTATGCTGTAAATCTCTAGACTATATAGCACTGAATGGTGAGATGACTGCTGAATGACAAAATGCAAAAAAAGGAAAAAAATTAAATGGCATGGTCATGGCCTAATCAAGGTATTATCTCAGAATTTACCTGCTAGGACTGAATAAGACCAAGAAAAACTTCAATCTGGATAGCCAGTGCCCTGGTTGAAGTTCAAACCAAGCACTTCCAAATACAAGTCTACACTCTTACTGCTACCCCAACCCATTTGATGCAAAACTAAAAAATCAAAATTGTATTCATGAAAAAATGATGAGAAGATTAAGTCTGGGGAATGCCTGCTGCCATTAAGTTCTGAATCTTTTGTCTTCCCATTTGCTTTCTAAAAAAATAATTACTGAAATAAATGAAACTACAAATTTCCTGCTTTTTGTATAGGTGCGAAAATTTACCTCTCACAATAAGGGAAGAATAAAGACTGAGGGTGTTTGAGAACAGGATGCTGAGGAGAATATATGGACCTAAGGGAAGGGAAATGACAGGAACCTGCTGTAAGTTTCACATGACGAGCTTCACAGATGTACCCTCAGTCAGATATTATTAGGATGATCAAATGAAGGTGGGCTAGATATAAGGGGCATGTACCATGAATGGGAGAAAAGAGAAATGCATTTGAAGTTTTCATATGAAAATCTCATCCATCCAGAATGTCTAGGCATAGATGGGAGGATGTCTGTACGTGTATGTGTGTAAGGGGTGGGCCACAAAATCCAGCCCTTACACTGCGACCTTCAATGATCTATTAGATGGGAGGATAATATTGTAATGGATTTGATCAATGCATTGCAAGACAGCAGCTCTATAAACATGGTACATTACACGACAATAGAAGAACGGCATTTTGTATGTGGTCCAAGCTGCAACTGTTGCTATGCAATGACAAGGTAAATAAGGACATGCCTTTGAATCTTCCCTTGAATGCTGCTGAGGACTCCTCTGGTGTCTTCAGTTGCTCAGAATTTTTCAAGACCAGTTTGAACCCTTCTGGGCATTCCATTGGTGGGCACGATGGAGCTGAAATATCAAAATGTTTTATGTCAAGAATTCTGCCAAATAAACAAATTTAGCAATCATGCTATGTAACAAAAATGTAAAATGTAAAAAATGTAAAAAGCCTGTACCTTATCACAAAACACATATCAGTACAGGGATTAATTATATTTAGTCAACATCACATGTGTCGTGAAGTGGTCACCCATTTAACTACTGGATATTGACACTGACCCTTACAAAGAGAAATAAGCAGAATCCAGCCAGTGGGTGTGTCATTTGTGAGTACTGGTGGCAAATCAAGATGGGATAAAATTAAAAATAAATTTTGAGGGAAAAAATTATTATAAATTATATACAAAGTCTTCTCACTTTCAGCTACATGTTTCAAGCCTGGAGGTCATCATCAAGCTGCAATGTATGTATCCTAACAAAACTGCTGTTAATTACTGACACTGCTCATATTGCAATATTATCCAATACACTGGTAAATTTTGTTATTTGACTTAAATTTAAAAGCTTATGTGCACTCATGATATTATCATAATATGTAAGAATTCACATAAATTAACATTTAACATCCAATTCACATGTTATTTCTGGGGCCTTCTTGTCCATGTTTTGCACTATACACAGTAATTCACGTCATCAGCTGTTGCAAAAATATGACTGACTACTGTGATATTATGTTGATGACTAACAACAATACAGTAAGATAAAATTGCTGATTTTTTTGGATATTATCCATTGTCCTATTCTTTATGGCTAATGTACATAAAGTAAAAGATTGTATTAACATACCATTGTCACACACTTTTAGATCTTATATCTAATAATATGCTTGAATATAGGATTTAATTTTAGAGAAGGTAAAATTCAAAATTTGATTACAAAGTTAAAAACGAAATGAGAACAATGGTTTTTGTGTGAATGTGTGTGTATGTGAGTGTGTGAGTCAAAAGAATGAAAAGAACAAGGGTACCAGTAAGGGAATTAAAATTAAAATATTAAGGAACGACACCAATGGGAGGATGGTTTCGCCAGATAGTGAAGAAGAGTTCTATCATCTGAGATATAATGCCCCATAGTCCACTGAAAGTCAACCAACTTTTCAGAGGAACATGTCACCCCCATCTTCAAGCAGAGCTTGCTATCTACTTCATGCTGGTTTCTTCCTTGATTCTTCAGCCATGAAGATGGAAGAGACATGATCCTCCAAAATGTCGATTGACTTATAATGGACTACCGGACGTTATATACCAGAAGAGAGAACTCTTCATAACCACCAAGGTGAAAACCTCAAATCATACGTAGGCAGTGAAAACATAAAGATTAGAGAAAAGTGATGGCTAGAAACTGAATAGGAAAGACAAAAAAGAGACTTGAGACTCTGTCCATCAACCTATATAAAATCAAAATTATGCTGCAAGAAGGCAGACACTGGTGTCTAAACTTGCCTCGTGTTCCTTCAGCAGTTGTTGGTGTTGTAAATAATAAAGTTGGTGTAGTTGGGACAGTTGGTGTGGTACAGTCACTCTCATCATCAGGACAGTCTTCCACACCATCACACCAAGATGTGGCATTAATGCAAATGTTGCTTGTTGGGCACAGGACTGTGCCAGATGGACAAGGCTTACAAATGCATCCACATGAAGGGGTCAGTAGTCTCTGCAGACCCTATGATCAAAACACATTTTGGCTGATTTGTTTATATCTTTTTAGGCATAGTCATAACAATTCGTTCATATGAATGAAACGACTCAGGAACCACTGGATAGGTTTTTATGAAACTGGTACTGGAAAATGTTATGAAAAATTCTTCAGCCATTTAAATTTTCCTGCGACCGTTTCTGCTGAAATTTGATAATATTTATGGAAGAGAAAAATGTTTCAAACAAAAGCTGTAGAGAAAAATGTACCAAACATTTCATGTCCAGTACACTTTCTATGTAAGTTTTAGAGCCTCTGAGGGAATTAATCAAAATGTATGTTGTAGGTACATTTATGAAGCTGCATATTCTACATTAACCATGGCCTCCTGACTTAAACTTGATTAAATAATAAGGGCAGAAAAATAAAACAAAATTCTGATTGAGTCTTAACTATGTTAAGAACACAACTGTTGTTTTATCTTTCAATGTAGCGTTTTATTACAATACAATTTTGAAGCATATATTAAACAAATTATATGTATATAACTTGTTTAATATAGGTATATAAGTATAATTTTCATTTCATCATCATGGAGCTGAGCCTTTCTTGAGAAGCTGCAAATTGTGCAGCTATTCAAGAACTTCCCAGCACTTTATGGAACCTGAAGGTTCATTACTGTGTTCACAAAAGCCGTCCACTGGTCCCTATCCTGAGCCAAATCAATCCAATCCATCCCATTCTATCTCTCAGAGATCAATTTTAATGTTGTCCACGAAAATATGTCTTGGTCTTCCCAATGGTCTCTTTCCTTCTGGATTTCCCACCAATATCCTATATGAACTCCTCTTCTCCCCCATTCATGCTAAATGCTCTGCCAATCTCATCATCCTTGACTTGATCATTCTAATTATACTTGGAAAAGAGTACAAATTATGAAGCCCCTCATTATGCAGTTTTCTCCAATCTCCTGTCACTTCATCTCTCTTCAGTTCAAACATTCTCCTCAACACCCTGTTCTCAAACACCCTCAGTCTATGTTCCTCCCTTAATGTCAGAGACCAAGTTTCAGACCCATACAGAACCACAGGCAAAATTATAGTTTTGTATATTCTAATTTTTATGTTTTTGGACAGCAGACGAGAAGACAAAAGGTTCTGGACTGAATGGTAGCAAGCATTACCCGAGTTCAATCTCCTCTTAATTTCCTTTTCAAATCAGGTTTTGATTTGCTATCGTTATTCACAAATATCTCAACTGTGCCACATTATCAAAGCATGTTACCTATCTTTATATCATGATCTTGCCCTGCATTTTGGTGACAAAGACAGCAACATATACTTAGTTTTCTCTGTGTTTTCTTCTAGAACAACCTCCTTACTAGTGTCAATTAAAGTTTGTGTTTTTTCTCTACAGTATCTACATTATCACCCAGTAGATTCACATCATCAGCATATACCAGCAGCTGATGTGTCCAATTTAATTTCAGTCCCACCTGGTTTTCCTGGACGTTCCTAATGGCATATTCTAAGTTGAAAAGGAGTGGTGATAAAACAGCTCCTTGTTTTAGACCATTCTGGATAGGAAAATTATCAGACAAATGTTTATATATATGGACTTTTCTATACGCTTCATTTACACATATTTTAATTTTCACTTAGTATATGTAATATTGGTGAACCTTAAAATCTTAGTACTGATCGTTTATTCATTCAAAGGCCGCACCATAGCTCAAGTGGTTAGTTGCTGGCTTCCCACCGCGGTGGCCCAGGTTCGATCTCGGGTCTGGTCAAGTGGGAGTTGTGGTGGACGAAGTGGCGCTGGGGCAGCTTTTCTCCGAGTACTTCGGTTTCCCCTGCCAATCTTCATTCCACCAATTGCTCCACAATCACCCTCACCGATCATCTGGGGCTGGTGCAATAGGCCAGAAGTGGCCGCAGTACAAGGGACTTAGTCCCACCCAACTAGCATTAAAAAAAATTATTCATTCAATATACAGTTTTGGTATCTCAATAATTTGAGTGGATATCACCCAGCAGTGAATAGTTGAACATGAACTTAATATTTATTTATTATAAGAGAAGGGTACATCCTTGTCTTAACACTCTCATCTATAATTCATTCTGCTGAATATGCAGACAATGTGTACTTTTATTGTCTTGTCTCAATTCAGTTGAGAGGAACATAGTGATATGAACTAAAATAACAGAATGCATCAAAATACACTCAAATTTCAGGAACATGATATGAAACACTCGAAATTCGTCTTCACACTAACAAATTTTGTCATACCTGTTCACAATGTGGACATATTTTCTCCTTGCAGCTAGCAATGCCTCCAATTTTGCAAATACACTCTTTGCAGTCTTGGGAGTCAAACAATGTCCCCACTGCATAAGTAATGTATCCCACATAGCAGGGACATTCTGTTCGATTTACACAAATCTCTCCATTCCACAATTTACCCTCTGGACATTGGCACAGTTCTGCTGTTATAGAGTCTTCACTGTGCCATCCAGGGCAAGGGTTGCACTGTGGTGGGACTGAAGTGGTAGAGGGCACTTCAGTGGAAGGTGGTGTTGCTAGACAGAATAAAACACTTTAAAATAAAGTTGTTACAACAGGCTGTCACCTTCTGTGAGAACCTCAAATCTCACATTTAAATGTTGGTTCAATTTTGTGTTCTTAACACAGTGATACAGGGAAGACAATGTTTCTCCAAAATTTCAACATTTATCTACCAGCCTACATAGTGTTGGTGCCTGGAAAACAATAATTTTCAACATCTAAATACCTAGCAGCTTTACTATATTGCTCTTTACTCTCAGAAGACATGCAATACCAAACCACACACTAAAGAAGCAAGTATGATCTTCATTAGTGATGACAAGTTTCTGTAGTAAACTTACGGTATGGTTCATAACATCCCAGCACCTCTGTTCTCAATGCTATGTTCTCATGCCACTTCGTGGGGAAAAGCCTGAGGTAACGGGAATGCAAGATTCTGTCAAACAAATTTCGATGTGGTGTAACACTGTCAAAGTTAGCCAGGAACACCTATAAAAGGGATAGAAAAAGATATTAAAAATGACCTTACATTTCTGCTTTATTTAACAAATAATAAAGTCAGAACCTGAAGGATAATTTCCAAATAAAGATCCCTGTCACTTTAATGGCGGTAGAGTTCGCTTGTGGACTGAAGTCATGGAGTCACTTTAATGTACCACAGATATATTTACTTTCCTTAAAAAAAATCTGTCATGCATAATTTCATCTATATTACTTAAACTTAATCTCGTATACAGAATAACTAACATAATCATATTACAAAGATCAAATGCTTAATCATGATTTTCACTGACAATTCCACTGTTATGGCGGAAACAGTTCAATCCTACAGAAAAGCATGCTGTTCACTATATATGGAACTGTTCTGTGACATCAGTGAAAGTCACAAAAACAAAACAAACAAAAAAATCAACTGAATGGATAAAGAGTAACAATGAAGAGACCTACATTCTTCACTAACATGGAATGGTTAACATTAAGCATGTGGTAACATTCTTTGTGCTGTGAAGTTCTTGAGTAGCTGCACAACTGGTGGCTTCTGAAGAAGGGCTCAGATCCATGAGTGAGTGAGTGAGTGAGTGAGTGAGTGAGTGGTAACTTTCATCGGCTAATCACTTTAGCATAATTTTATGTAGAATAATTCACTTTAATTAACCGATTATACGCCTATGCAACAAAACAAGAAAATTGGAAACCACTGGTCTGTATTTTTTTTTGTCAGTTACTTCTTGACACAGTTAATATCAAGACTGAAGAGTGGCTAACTTCATACTCCCTCCACTGTTGGTGCAGAACCAGAGCTGAAAGTCCACAAACCGCTCAAGATTATATAGTGTTGGACTCAACACTATTAAAAGGTCTTTCTAAATTATGTTACGCTTAAAAAACTATATCTCCAAAATGAACAGAACTATAAACACAAAACAAAGTGCACTGTATTAGTAAAGAATAGCCATTTTCCCCCAGTACTTTTCCAGATTCACAAATATTCTATGTGTTGTCTCCACATAACATAGACAATGTTTCGTGTGTACAAGACTTCCTCCCACACAAGTAGCATGTCAATAAAAACACAGTGACAATTTAAATGCAATAACCTTCGTTCGCATTTCATCAAAGGGTTTGTGGTAGGGGAGACCAACACACATGATCCTTGCTGTAACCTGCTGCAGTCAAATCAGTGACACAGAAAGCCAGGCACTGAGTCCTACATGAACAATCCATGCATCAGGGAAGGTCACGTCAAGGCAGGTCCTCGCTGCCCTACAGAAATGTGATGGAGTCCCATCTAACTAATAGATGGCATCTATCCCAAACAGATTAGCACAGTGGTGTACCTGAGGCACTGAATACTGCTCAAGCATATCCAAAGAGAAATCAAATTCTAGAGAGATCCTGTACTTTAACCAGAATGTAGAGGGTGCTGCATTACCTTTTCTGAGTGTGTAGCTGGGTCAAGGACAGGGTTCCATGCTTTGCCATCATGGCTGTACTGGACAGTGTAAGTTTCAACCCAACTGTCCAGTGCTTCACTTCCCTGAGTAACAATTCCTGTCAAGTTTCGTGGTTCCAAGAAATCAAACTGTCAAAAACAACAGAAACAAAAACTGATACATATGCATACACTTGAGCATAGTATTTATTGGCACAAAAAGATATCAGTAATATGCACTTTGTCCTGTAATCTGTGATAACAGATGTGCTCTTATGGGGATTTCATCATTGTAAGGCAGTTTATAACATTATTTACAGATATATAGTAGCTATATTACTGGTACCAGAAAGAATAGTATAAATTTTGCAATCCATGAATGACAGTTCCCAGGAATCTGATACTGGGAGAGGTCATTGAACACACGGGAATTTCCTTCTGTAACGTTGCACAGGTTATGACACCCCCTCACTTAAGTTTTAGACAAGGATTACTCCCCTTTCAACTTATGAAAAAATTTTCATTCCCAAAATGGGCATTCTTTCTGATGGATCCATCTGAGCAGATGCCTACCCATATTTTCACCTGAGGACAGAAACAGGGCCAGTTTCCAAAACCTGTTCTGTTTGGAATACTAGATAATGGACAGAGTCTAGAAACCTATCATATTCCACTGTCAGAACCCTCAGAACTGATTTCAATGGAGTTCATTTGAGTTGAAAATTTGTGGGTTCACACATTACTAATATAGTGAAAGCTCATTTAAGGTTTCATTTTGGAGCAGTGGATTTGAACACTAAACTAAGAAAAATCTTTTATGAATTAATTAAATACTAAGATTATTGACTTTGAACCAGTGAAACTGAACATTAAATGAGGAGGAAAACTGACATCAAGAAACCTCATATTTTCAAGGCACAAATTTAAATCTCTTCACTTTTTTAACTGCCTTGCCTTTCCTCATATGTTCTGATATCCTTCCACAGAGGTTTCATAACAGAATAAAACCCTTAAATTAACAAACATGAGAGAGGTTTTTAAGGGCACTATAATGTTACCACCACAACCAGTCTATATTTCACACAATTATGGTTTATGAGACAGCAAGAACATCAAACCCACAATACCTGAATCCACTGATTGTGACGGTGCGTTGAAGGAACCCATGCTGCATTCCCATTCAGCCTGGCTTGTGCTGGGCCAAATCTTACATCTCCATCATGAACAGATGAAGCAGTAAATTGTTGGTCAGCCATCATACCATTTTCTAATCCCATTTGATCCCTGCAGACTTCTGTTGATAAAGAAGCAGTTTCCTTATATCATTAACCCATTTTCATCCATAAGCACGTTTACGTGCTCTCACGTTAAATGCCTTGTAACTGCAGAATTACTTTTGCACAAAATGTGAAGGGTGTCTGAAGCAGTTCCTTCTGTCATCTGTGAACCATAAGGACGCTGTATGATTTAATAAATTGTGTAGGTTGTGATATCTAGGGATCAGTGAAAGTAGTTTAAGGTAAATCATAAATAAGGAATGCTGATAAAGACTGTAATCACTTCCCTAGATCAGTTTTGCAGAGCACAATACATGAAAAAGGGGAAGGATTTGGGTTGGATAAGAGATTCATCCTTATGGCAAAAACAATTTGGAAACTGTTCAGGAAAAATTAGAGGACACCCATGGATGCCAAGGCAGGTACCCCAGTGACACACCAGCCAATGAAACCCCTCCACATAGAACTCCCTGTGCTGTTGGTGTGTCATACACACAGTCACACAATCACATATGATTGGGTGTATTCACTGTTGGTGCCATGGACAGGTTTCATCTGAACAACCCTTATACGTGGCAGTTCTAAATATGGTACATGCTGTGTGTGTGCATGCTTGCACAGATGCACAAACACACATACACACAACTAGGATCACCATCATTAATGCTCTGATAAGTATGAATACAAATTTAAGTGTACATTAAGCTTAAGCATATTTTAAAATATATGCTCAAAAAAGATGCCTGTAGGAAATCGAAAGAAAAGACAGGTTAATGCAGTAGAAACATACTTTTGAAAAGTGAGAAACTGGGAAAGAGAATCACTAGATAGGCAGATTTGGAGGTGTCATTTGAAGGAGGCCAAGGACTGATTTCGGACTTTCGTGTCCATATAATAAGAAGAGGTCAAAATTTTATTTCTGTGAAAAATAGGTTAAGCCAGTGAATAAAATCCCAGTATATGTTGAAGTATCAGTAAATTTATAAAATTAATATTAAGAATTTGTTTAGATTCTGGACTGTATTTCATTCATACATGTGCAATGGAGATTGAATGAAATATCAGGCATGAATGTGAAAGCCTAAGAGAAATGGAGGTAAGGTTCCCATACAAGAAACGAGATGGCAATATTTCTTCATACTTTTTTCTTTCATGTCTATTGCAATCATTACTGTGGTTCAAATTGATATTTATCCCTGACATATCTTTATCTTTCATTTTACATACCATAAAGTGTAGGGGATGTGAGTCCTTCTGATGTGAGAGTGGTACCCTGTGTTGTTAACTCTCCGCAGCCTAGCAGATCAACCTTCATCGCAATAGCATTGTGCCATGTACGAGGATTCCATCTGATGTAACGAGCCTCTATTGGTTGGAAGAACTGCTGTGCCAACTTCTTTTTGTGATCTGCAGGACCTCGGAAAATCTGAAATAGCATATAGACACAATGTTTATGAAAAGTGTAGAACATACAGTTCTTCAGTCATGTTTAAACACATGTCAAGTAGTACCAAAACACTGAAACAAATAAGTTAGAAAATGTATACATAGTGCAATAATTCTGGCATATTCACTCTCCTCTGTTTCAAAAACCATAAGATTTACTGAGAAATTTATTTGGCATAAAATATGTATTTAATTTCTCTCCGTCTTCACTTCTAATTTTATTCACTCTTGTACCAGTGATAATTATGAACATAAATGAATGATTAATTATGAAATTATGAATTTATAATTCCTACTGAACTTATGACACATACTGAAGCATGTGAAGAAAAATATATGTCACAACTACTCCCTACAATTTCGTGTTCTTTTTATGACAAAGAACCATATCATTAAACATGGCAGTAGCAAGAATGCTAATGATACGATGGTATAGTTATGACAAGTATGTCACAGTCAAAGTAATAAAAATAATTTGAGCTGTTATTCTCACCGCTGGTGAATTATCTTCATCAGTGACATAAGTATAACGCTGTCCATTATCACTGTACAAAACCATGTAACTGGTAACATATTCATCCTCTTTTGGGTTCCCCCATACAGCTGTTCCATACAATGGTTCCAGGTTTCCCAAATCGACTTGCAAGTACTGATCTTTATTGTTATCTGCAGGTTTCCATACTGCATCTGCATCAAACGATTTAAATATATTAATTAAATTGAAAACAGACTTAGAAGGGCTTTACAGTTGAAACATAAGGGAAAGAGACTATGGAAGGAACCAGAGTAGATGGTTCAAACAAGTACTGGAAGATATCAAGAAAAGAGAAAGATCTGGGAAGAAACTGGAAAGGAAATACCATAGGAAGAAAGAGGAGTTTGGAGACTTTTTGTCGTTTGACCCATATAAAATGAAAATTATGCATGAACAAGAACAAGGTGGAGGAAAAGAGGAAGATGAAAAAGAATAAGGAGTGGTATGAGGTGGAGAAGGAGAAGGAACAGGTACTATACTGAATGCATCACTTGCACAATTCCTGTAAATCTGACATTTATAATTTAAGTCCAACCTCAGACTACATGCAATAGCTTTCAACTAAATGTAATCTCTTCAAGCCTTGTCTTTACACATGCCACATGAACAACTTGTGACCAAACAGAGTGCACATCCTGACACTGCAACTGCATTCCTTGTCAAGTCAGCTGGAAAACTATCAATATGCTGCAACAAGAACCGAGAAAATGGATGTAATATTAACAACAGTTTTAAATTTATGGACTACATTACATTCCTTGCCTACTTCCTACAATAAATATTTTTCTGTTAAATTATGGAGACTGAACTGAATTTAACAAATGGAAAATTAGTTCCTTTACTCCACATCTGTGACTAAAGTAAGTTTTCCTCATATCTATAGTAATTCTTTTGAAAAGATATGACACATTTCATCCTCCATAATAACTTACTCGCATCTACGCAGAGAGAATATAGTGGTCAGGGCAGGGGACGAGGAAACAAGACTAACAAATATCAACAGTCATACTGTAGCAATTACTTCTCTTCTAACATATTCTGTATTCATTTTCATTTATCAGTATCTTATGCTAGAAAAGGAGACATAAACACAACATGAATCAAGTAAGAGAGTGACTCACCTGACGATTCTGAGGAAATATACTGGAGGTTATGTTCGTGTGGATTTAGAGCATTTGCTGAGCTAAATTTCACATCTGGTAGCTCCTCAATTATGTAATTCATCCTAAAAGCATTCATAATTTTATTTATGTAATCACTACCCAACCAGGATGCAATCTGTTACAAAGTATAGCATTTATCCTGTGTGAAGGTGACTTCAAATAAAAGCCCCTTCTGGCATAATATTTTTGTTTGCTGATCAAGATAAAATGTTCAGGTGAAACTTTACTGAAAAAACTAGATAATGTATTTCTTTTATCTTTTGATGACCTATTTTAAAGTGTATAGAATGTTTTTCTTTTCTGTTGGAGCTTGGACCTAGTATGAGATATGAGTTATTTTGGTGTGGATGGATGTTTCACAGTTCTGGCAATATCTGAACTACATAGCATCAAATGATGGGATGACTGATGAACTGAAAAGAATATGGAAGAAAATCAGCATGACATAATCAAGGTACTGTCCTGGAGTTTTACTGCAGAGACTGAAAAAACCAAGAAAACCCTCAGTCAGGATATCTGGCATCCCAGATGAAATTCAAACTGAGTGCATCCAGAGTATAAATCAGCAGCATTACAAGTGGACCAACAAACTAAGTAGGAAACACAAGGTTCTCATAGTGTTAAATATTTAGACTGCAGTCTTCTGAGATGTGAAGCTGTGGAGTTTGACAGATAAGTACTCACATTCCCAACAAACCTACTCACTCCATCTCCCCTGAAGATGGAGGCAAGAGGTTCCTGTGAAAGGCTGGTGACTATCTACCAAACTACATGATACCACATAACAGAAGACTAAAATCTTCTCTTACACCTTGTAATTTAGTGCTGAGGTCAAGAAAACGTGGATCTATACATCCACTCTCCCATACGTCTTCATGGGGTCGTGCCTAATTAGTTAAGCAAAGGGATAAATTTACCTTTACCTTGCACCTTGCAATTATTCTTTGCCTTTCTTCCTTCTCATATGTTAGTATCAGAAATTATGTTTTTCCTTCATGACCCAGAGGTTTTGACAACTTCTAACTGAAAAGTGACACCATATTTAATTTGCAAGAATGAAAGAATCTGCAAAGTATAAATAACTCTAGTTTCTGTGTTATTTCAATTAATTCTGAAGTTCAAGCTTAGATTGTGCTAATATATTTTCTTGCCATCAAATAAAAGTTTTATGTTGTTCTGTGGTACTTCTTTGTCCAAATTATGTATTTTATTTTTTGATATACTCCAAAGAGGTTGTACATGTAACATTTTTCTGTAACTGGACTGGCCACCATCTGAATGTAGCTGCAAGGAGAGGCAGAGTGAATTTAGATGTAAAATTGCCAGCTTCAATTCTTCAGATAAAATACCAATGAATGTCCAAATTTTCATCTTATGGCACTTGTAAGTTTAAAGAAGTCTTTGAGATATTAATGGAATCAAAGTTGCTCTACATTTTACCTGTGTATGTCACATGGAAGTGGTGGAGTAACCGTTGGTTTTAATGTTGGTGTAACAGGAAGACCCACTGTCACAGTAACAGGAAGCACAGTAGTAACATACTCTGATGGAGTTTCCTCAGTGGAGAATGTTGTTCGGTTGCATGCTGTGGCATCACACTCATATTGGTTATCAAAACACTGGCACACCTCACACTCTGATTCTTGCACCACTGACCCAGGCTGAAACAAATGAAAAACATTTTGACATCAGTGTGACTTTTGGTTCCCACACTGCTGACTATGAAGAGTACTATGTAGGACGTGACCCCATCTAGTCCAGTAGTAGTTTACCTGCGGCTCAGAGGAATGCACTGCCTCCATCTTCAGGTTTGTGAAGTAAGAAAAGCAAGCAAACAGAAACCAAGAACAAAGAACAGCAAGGAGTGTTTGCTGTCCATTTGCTTGACTTAGACTTTGACCCTGAAGAGAGAGGTAGAATATTGTTTCAAAATGTCAGTAAAATTCTATCAGACTACACAGATTATACAGATTTGAACAGTAAACTAAGCATGAAACAAGCAGAAGCAGGTGAAAATATGACATTGCTGGTTTCTTGCTTGGCACAGGTCTTTGTTCTTCCAAAATATTGGTATCTGCCTGAAGAACACAGCATTATCAACCTAAAAGACTGTACCCTTCATAGTCACTGCTACAAGATCATAAAATCTGATAAAATGTAGAACAATCTGAAATCAGTCTGACTCATATTAATTAAACTAACCATTGTTATATTTCATTTTACTGAATAATGGTGTTTTTGTTAATAAATTTCTTTAACACATGCTATGAAGTGTTTCATAAGCAACAGAAGAGAAACATGAGATTCTGACAGCAGTGAATATTAAATAAGACAGCTGCTGTACTTTGAAGATGGAAATAGTAGGTTTCTTCTAAACGTTGGTACCTCCCTCTCAAATTACATGGCATCATACCCTACAAGAACATGGTCTTATTATTGACTGCCATGAAAAACTAAAATCTTATACTTAAATACTGCCTATACTAATGGCTTCCTTCATATCATCATTACCATCAACTTGTTAAATCTTAGGATATTTGTTGCAATGTTTCTTCTTACACTTCCAGAGGCATACCTTGACAGGTTTACCACTGTGAGATCGACATGTGCAATCAGAAATTCTGACACAACTGACAGCATCTCGCCACAGGGAGCCCACAGGACACTGTACAACTGCATCTACAGGTACACAGCCTGAAGAATGTAAAATCACATTATTATGTACAGCCTGTATGAAACAAATGTTAACCAGTCATGAGTAAAGTTGGCAACAAGAATTCATTTTTAAATTTGCTTAGTTAGCATTACTGGGTTTCCACTGAGTTCATCAGCACAGTGCTGACCTTTTTGTATTCTGGAGATGATCAGTTTGAATCTTGTCCAGGACACCAGCTACTCGGACCAAGGTTTTTCATAGTTTTCCTAAGTTCCTCCTGGCAATTGCACAGATAGTACCTCAATCAGGTCACAACCAGTTTCTTCAAAATCCCTCCCAATTTATCATTCACCCATCATTTGCCCATCCAGCGTGACAGTCTAGCTACTGAAAATGTCAATAAACAACCCACTGGACTTCCTCCATTGTTTGGTACAACAAATAGAACACACCAAAATTAGTGGGTCTGATGACTGAGAAATGCATTTTTTGAGGGGACCAACTAAGTAACTACCACCTTCCACCTTTTCATTTGAGGATGGAAACAATCAGTTTGTGAAATACTGTGCTCTGCTCAGAATATGAGACAGATGGACACAGTCCAGAAACTCAGTAATCCCAAATGTGATATACTATTGTCAGAACCCTTTAGAATTTGCTTGCTTGCTGTATTAAACCCACTTACCTGGTACACAATCTTCAACACTGGAGCAGAAGCCATTTTGTCTGAGTGCAAAATCATAATAGAGACAGATTTGGGAACATGGCACCACACATCTGCTCCACGCTTCATTTTCACCACATGCTGAAATATAATTACACTATATTGCTACAAAATTCATGAAAAGTTAAAAGCAGATTAAACTGGGAATCTTTCATTTGTCATGTCCCATATAAACACACACAAACACACAAAACTATTATTTTACCCGTAGTTTTGTATGGGTGTGAGACTTGGATTACATTAAGGGCAGAAAGTAGCTCATGTGTTTGAGAACAGGGTAAAAGGTAAAAGATAAAGCTACCCCAATAACAGGCCATGCAGGCCCATAGGGTCATGAGATGTCAAGACTCCCACATTTTTCTAGACAATCAGCTCACAGATAGAGGTGAGGTTGTCAGCCTTATGTGCCAGCCACCCTTTACTCCCAGGAAAGTTCCTGGTACTCATTTCTGTTAGAGGCTTTGAGTACAGGATGTTGGGAAGAATATTTGGACCTAAGAGAGTAGAAGCAGCAGGAGGCTGGAGGGAACTGCATAATTAGAGCTTCATAACTTATGCTCTTTACTAAATATTATTAAGTTAATTAAATCAGGGTGGATGAGATGGGAACGATGTGTAACATGCATGGAGGATAAGAGAAATGGGTAAAAAGTTTCAGCTTGAAAACATTAATGGAATCATGTATTAACAGAGAAGATAGATTAGTTCTATATGCTGGTCCTTGGGCCTTGCAGATGTATGTTACATGGCACTGTTCCATAAGCTGTAACCAGTAGCTTTTTTTTATTGCTAGTGGGGTGGGACTAAGTCCCTTGTACTGTGTCCACTTCTGGCCTATTGTACCAGCCCCAGATGATGGGTGAGGGTGATTGTGGAGCAATTGGTGGAATGAAGATTGGCAGGGGAAACCGAAGTACTCGGAGAAAACCTGTCCCAGCGCCACTTTGTCCACCACAGATCCCACTTGACTAGACCCGGGATCGAACCCGGGCCGACACGGTGGGAAGCCAGCAACTAACCGCTTGAGCTATGGCGTGGCCAACCAGTAGCTTAATAGTACTCTTTGAATTGGAAATCTTAACCAGCATCAGTAAGATAGATCAGTAGAAGTAAACCAAGGAAATAATTAAACAAGGTACTTACAAGAACTAACAGCAGTTGAGGTAGTTGTGCCAACTGTGCTGGTTTCTATCAAAGAAGTTGAGGCAGTTGTGCCAACCATGGTTTCTGTCAAAATAAACCAAGAGTCACAAACTTGTACACACAGGATGCAGAATATGCAAGAACTTTAAGAATATATCACAAATGCAATTTTGCAGATTGCCCCACCCCACACATGCTGTAAAACACTTGGTAGACAATCAAGTTTCATTTCAGTGTCCGTTGAGCAGCAGGAAGAACATGGTTGTGAGCTTGAGGAGTTGCTTCACCATAGTATGCAAGTTATACATCAATCAAAAAGCAAGCTTCCTCATTATTAACATTCAGTCTCTTTTAGCATTCCAATATAAAAACGATTCAGACAAAATTCTCAAAAATGACCATCTTGTACCAGAAAGTTTTCTTCATTTCAAAAAGCAGCTTTTGAGTAAATGGCTGCCAAGACCTAGACTAGAGTTTCAGGCAAAAAGCTTCATACATCAAAGGAACATGAACTGGAATATGCAGTGACAGTTCACTTTAATGGGTTCCATCCCTCAGCTGAATACTAGATATGCCATTTATGACTCTGCTCTCTTCAGGTATGAAAATGTTTCTTATGTAACGTCAGTGATATCTTTTCTGTCACATTTCACAAACCAAATTAAAACACTTCAGTGTTTGCAAATACTGAACACAATAAAACCACTAATTTATACTTCTGAAGAGACACCTAAATTATTACAAATTTCAGGAAAGTGAACATGATGCAATAAAAAGAAAAATATAGGTTAATGTATACTAAAACTTTGGGAAGCCTTTCAAATTACACATGTGTGAAAATAATAACAATGCAACTGCAAGTACACTAACCTACATGCCATGCTATTTCTTTCACCATTCAAATAGAATAATTTATTTCCTTTCTTCTTGAGTCCTCAGTCTGTACAGCTCTCTCATGTAGGGTTCAAAAACTTCAGATGCAAAGATATTGAATTGAATTGAATTTATTTACATTCTATAAATCCTAAGTAGGTTAGTACCTTTGGATACAGAACAAGTCAAAAGGTTACATACATAAGTACAGGCAATTTTAGCTTAAAAATTAATATAACTTAATTTTACATCATTCTCTATTTACATTGAAGTATTCATCTAAAGAGTAGAAGGAATGAGCATGTAGATAATTCTTTAACTCTGATTTAAACTTTTTAGTATCATTGCCCAAGTTTTTAATACTTTGTGGCAGATTGTTGAACACTTTTATGCCAGTAAAGTAGACTCCTTTTTGATATACTGATATGACTGTCTTGCGACAACAAACCTTGATCATGTGCAGAATGGTTCCATTTTTTTTTCTTTAATTTTTGTTAATTTTGTAACTGTAAAAGCTGATAAATTTCCATTGTCAGTACACAAAAATGAAATGAAAATTTGAGAAAAACGTAAAATATAAGATTGTTCTTATGTATTTGGCTGGAACCAAACAAAAGTGTGAAGAAATGGGAAAGATGTAAAATTGAAGAGCACAAAACCTAAACACCTATAAAGTCTTTTTTATATAAAAAGAGAAAAACTATGAAACTTACAAATAATATCGATGATCACTGTCAATAATATGACTGCTAGCTCAGCAAAATAATCATACATATTCCAACTTACCTTCACAGGTACAAAACACTCGAATAATATAATCTTCACAGAGCCCATCCCTCTGCTGTCCATTGTTACATGCCAAGCCTGATGACAACTTGCAAGTCACATGATCATCAGACTTTGTGTAGTCTAGCTTTTCTAACCTACTTTTGAAACCACCTTTCACAGTTTTTCTGCACAACACAAAGAAAACAAAAAATTGTAAATTATTAATAACAAAGAAAATAAGGCAGAATTAATAACAGTACTTCATTAATAGTTAGTTAATAGTTTTAAAGTTAATGGAATGAACAGTAATCCTAACAATCATCTCATTTCTTAATTTAATCAGTAAGATTAATGATACAGATATCTGTTCTCATAGATGTCATCATATTACAAAATCTACTTTTCTGTTGGTACAGATTCACTTTTAAATTACTACAGGCCTTCAAAACACAGTTTTGGAGAGCTGCAACAGTCTAAAGTTTTTAAATAATGACATTTCTTCTTGAGGAAAGTATCTGGTACCCAAGAATATAAAGCAAATTTTTCAAAATACTTAATTCTTGACTTGTCCTGGTATTTTTCACATTTACAAAGCTTTTCTTCTTTTATATCTTTAGCAGAAGTGAATGCTTTAATATGACAGCAGAAAAATTCACATACAAACATGACTGGAGATAGAATGTAGAACCCAGTTCCTTATCCTGAGGCCACCAGGTGCCCTTTTACCTACTTAAGTTATAAAATGAAGTCCATTAACTCACCTGGTATTGTTCCTGTAGAACTTGCATTCAATGTCAGTGATCTCATGTCTTCTACAGAGTAATTTTCCTTCAGCTTCCAAATCGTTCAGGCTTTCATAATCTCCAGTTGATGTGCGTGGTGTGTTGTACCAATGACTCCATCCTGGCTTACATTTCATTGGTGTAGGCCCTGCAGTTGGTGTTGTTGCAGTCTCTGTTGTAGCTTCAGGTGTGGTTGCTGTTAGAAAATACAAAAAAAAAAAAAATCGCAAAATATAATTATGGCAAGGAAATGCAACTTTGTACAGAGTCAAATTTGTTCATGATTGCCATACTTTTCATACCTATCTTCTACAATACCCTTGCAATGTCAAAGTCATCTTTACCCTTGTGAGATATGAGATTCTCACCATGGAGAATATGAAGATTATTGTCTTTTGAGATGTCATGCCATGTATTCTGGCAGAACATCATCAATTTTTCAGAGCAAACTGCTGCCTCCACCTTCAGAGTATGAGAGGAAGTTTTCAAAAATGACCCTCTAAAAGCCCACTTTTTCCTTACACTCTTTCTCCTGACTTCCTTCTACCTCTTACTGGTTCACTCCTTGTTTCCCTCATCGCATTGCCCTTGAAAAATGGTCCTCTCACAAACCAAACATTCTTCACACTCCAGTCCTTACAGAATGGCTATGAGGTGGACTAACTTCTGGAATATGATACCACAGTCTCCAGTCTCTACACTGTTCTCCTTATTCCCTTTTGTCATTCAAGGCTCCTATGTATCCCATTTCCATCCTGACATGGCTTAATCTTCTACCAGATACATGCAGAAGGTCCCTTGCAATGCTGATTATGTAACATCACAACTCAGAGGAATCTTCACATTCACTGCCAATGAGAATCTCAGACCTCACTTGAACCATACCTGCACATTCTGGCCGAAGTGCTATAACAGTGGCTGGCCAGTCACATACTTGCTTCATGTGATTATACATCATATATGGCCCGCATGTTTTCTCAACCAGTTCAGGACCCTCAAGTGTATCTTTACAGTGGTAGAAGCGGTGACAATCCCCAGGATGTGGTGAATTTGGATTATTTACATCACAGTACCTTGGACCTGAAATTGAATTATTAAAACATAGAAAGAATGGCAATGTAACAGGCATACAATATGCTGTAGGTACAGAATTTCATCATATATTAAGCTTCAAAACCCTGAAACAGAGCATCAAGCAGACATGCAATGCAGTGAAATCTGGTATTGGTATCTAGCACATTTTCATCCACCTTAGTTCATGGTGCTCCTTGTGCTATATAATGCCAAGTTAAGTTTTATAAAATTTCAAAACATGTGTACATAACACAGACCTCACTAATTTTTACAAATCCTGTTTGAAAATTTTTCATTATTAATTCTTAAAGAAATATCAGGAAAATATAATTAAAGTTACTATGCAATAATGTTTTGAAGTTCAAGTGATATTTCATCCTCTCATCAACAAATTGCAGCTGCTCTTCCATATCATTTTTACCACTGAATGAAATTTCTTTAATGACACATGTCAAAGTGTATGTAAAAATAAGGCACTTTCTGTAGCCATAATGCAACAGCATGCCACTGCAAGCAAGTGCAAGGAGAGGAAGAATGCCATCCACTGAATTGTTCAAGGGATCAATGTATCACTTACATTTGCACAGGACACGAATCTCATAGTTGTGACATCCACCGACACACCTGAGTCCCCCATTCATTATGCTGCACTCCACATTGTCACCAGTGTCCTTGTAGAACTGCTGAGTTTCAATAACTCTGCATTCTATGTTCTTCATTTCTGTGACGTTACATATGGCTGGACTTTGTTCTGCCATCTGTGAACAGGAAACGTTTTACTGAAATTTCTGTGAAAGCAGTTAATTTGCAATACACTATAGTATTTGTGAAATCAGGTGCGTGACGACAAGACTGACTTTTGCTACTCTGTGCAAAAGACAATTTCTGCTTATTTTCATTTAAGTTGACTTTCTGAAAAGCAAAAGCACATCTGTTAATTTTCATACGTTTTCTTGAGAGCAATAACTATGAAAGTATAAATGTAAACTAGGTAGTGCATGCTGGAATGTGAAGAAATGCAGTCCAGTTGACATTCCCTGATGTTTCAAAGATGCTGATGTTTGCATATTGCTTATTGCTCATTCCTTGCTCAGCATACATTTGACCCTGAAGATCAAGTTGGTATGTTCATTTGATATGCCAGTGGGTTTCTATCAGACTATATAGCATCATATCCCAAAAGACAGTAATCTTTCCAGTCTTTACTGTGAAGAACTCAAATCCGATATAATTATGCAAACTCCATGCGGCAGAGTCCTTCATGAATAGCTATGAGTCATTCAACTACTCACAAAATTCCCTCCCTCTTACAGGTCCCATACAAAATGTATTATTATATAGGATTTAAGGTCCTCACAGTAGTTGTGAAGAGTCCTATCTGTTGAAAGCCAACCATGTCTTGCTTGGCTTGTTCTTCAACCCAGAAGATAGAAGTGACATCTTCCTCCAAATTCTGGTTGGCTTTCATTGAATGACATGGTATTATATACCAGATGACAGAACTCTTCATGCGTTAATATGTTCATAAGAGCACCCAATATCATTAAAACGTACCAGAAACAGTTTTATGGAGCTGGTAACCCTGGTGCTGCATTCAACTTCTGGTTGTCAAGGAAACCCTAGGAAGAGGTGGCAGTCAGGTTCAATCAAAAGCTGAAGAGGAAAGATGTCTTGGGTGCCTTAGGTACACGTGTGAGGATAATATTTAAAGTGAACCTTAAGATGAAAAACTTTCAAGTTCAGTAAAAGGCAAGGAATTTCTTGACCAGCTGAGCAACTACTATTCTGTGAAGGCGAATTCTATTCCATGGAGTTAGATATTTAGCTCGTAATGATTCTAGGGCTAGTGGCTTGTGTAAAGTCATGTCCCTTCCTGTCCATTTCCTCAGAATCATCTTAATACTCCCTGAGTCTTTTCACTTAAATGCAATTCATTTAAAAGTGCTGTTAGCTGCTTAGGCTATACAACACTGAACGGTAAGATGATTAAAAAAGAAGTAAAGGTATTCCTGTAAGAGGCCGTGGAGGCCCATAGGGTTGTGAGATGTTGAGGCTCCCACATTTTCTAGACAATCGGCTCACATATGGCGGTGAGGTTGTCAGCCCTATACGCTGGCCGCCCTTTACCCCCAGGAATAATCCTGGTACTCATTTCTGTTAGAGGCTGAGTCGACCCCAGGGGCC